TCGCATACATATGTGTATTAGTATCTTAATATTAATTATGAGAATCAACCATCATAGCAACGTCATCATTGTTGGACAGTTCGAACACTGTATAAGTTAATAGAAATATGGCGGTTAAAAATCTGTATTGAAGTGAGGACAGTCTTCTAGTACTTCCAACATGAATCTTCCTTGAAATTTTATTGATCAACTCCTCAAGAGTGAAGTTTCTCCTGAATGATATTCTGACATAATGATTTAATGCGAAGATAACGTCGGTTTCATCTTCCCGAATTTCTCCATCATAGTAAACAATAGCTGAAATACGCGTCATTTTGAGAGTTTGAAAGATTGGGAGTATTATACCTGCTAAAATAATAGCTGAAATATGCCTAATTAAATAAATAGTATATGAATTAAAATATAAATTAATCCAAAAATTTAAAAAATTTCACAATAATTTAAATAACACAATTTCATATTATTACCGTATAGGCAAAATGTCTCGAGGTATGATCTCACCTTACAATTTTACAACCAAAAAAAATAATACAAAATAATTAGTACAATAAAATTTGTACAAATAATTAAATATAAAATAAATATAAAATAATAAAAAATAGTTTTACCTTATAAAAAATAACAAAATCTACTTAGCTTAATTGAATGAATTAATAGAAGTGAGAATAAGCAAGTATTTTTGGTGTGGTAATATTTGCTTTCAGAGGGGTTATTTATAGGGGAGGAGATCGTTAATGTAACACCCTCAACCCGTACCCGACCCGGATACGAGTCCGAGGTGTCACATTGACTTTTCAAACTTTGACTCTTGACGAAAAAACGAGGAAATTTAAAACTTTCATTAAAATAACATTGTTGCTTTACACAAGTTAACCAAAACAAGACAAAACTGATCAGAGCATTTGTAACAGACACTTTTCTTACATGCCAACACTATACACGACAAAAGACATACTTTATCCGTTACTTCTGATCTGATCTTCTAGCAGTGTTGTTGTTCTTGCCACCCTATTTTCGCTCTTCCTAATTCTTGGTACCTACGTGTAAATCACTTACACGCTAAGTCATAGACTTAGTGAGACATATAAATATAATAATAATGCATTCAGTATGAATATGAACATGCAATCTATCCATTCAATCCTGTCGTATACAATTCAATGTAAACAATAATAATATGGTAACATATAACTATAACAATGCAATTACCTTTGATAACCTTTTATAGGCCCATGTACATTTTTGAGAACTCAAGGTATTCGAGTACATTGAGGTTGTGCACTATGCTGTCACCACAGCTCGTATGGGTCCCACTAGGGGATATGGAATTTATCCCGAAGGACCTATGTACTGTATTTATCCCGAAGGACCACTCCTTAAGAACCATATACATATTCCAGTGGATCAAATCTGTCTCAAAAGACCCTGTAAATGTTCCAAATGATACATATATGTCCCGAAGGACCACGTAGAACCCTCGACTCTTGGCATGCCAACTATACCTATAACTCTCATATCGTATACCATGGGCATTATTCTTATGTTTCATATGTTCATGTATTCATGTCATTTCTCTTGTGATCACATAACTCATATCATTTACCATGTCACATGTACATTTGAATCTATTCATATATATTATTTATCAAATCATATGAACATATATACTTTATGCATGTATCATAATAATTATCATGTATGCATGTTCATAACTATTGTGCTATGAAAATCAACATAGGAATTAGACTTATCACAAGTCTTATTCCATTATATCATACTTATAATATGTACTCACCTTAGCCTTGCTTTGACTCGATTCTAATCCTTCAATTGTTTTGGAACGAGATTACGTTCTAAATCTACATAGTATTACGTTCTAAATCTACATAGTAATACATTGATACATATCAGTATACTAATTGAAATATTCTAAACTATCACTCCTTAGGCTAAAAAAATCTATTTTTATCTTTTAATGAAGGTATGCATCGATGCACTACACCATGTATCGATGCATCCCTTGACGGGTGCATCGATGCACTATCTATGCATCGGTGCATAAATCTTATTCGATGTTTGTATTTTAAGCAGGTGCATCGATGCACTCCTTATGCATCGATGCACTAATGGCATTCAGTGTTCATTTATTTTAAATGAGTGCATCGATACACTCCATGTGCATCGATGCATCTTCAACAAATTCTGGGATTTTCTCTTGATGCATCGGTACACGTTGAATGTGCACCGATGCACTTTGCCCAGAATTCAGTTCTTGAACCCAAAAACTTATCTATTTCAACTTAAATCTTTCATGTTTCATCCCCTTTTATATTCTTAACTCCAGTACACATACTTAAACCAATCTATACTCATTTATTTCATCTTAAACCCTAAAATCCTATCCTCTTTATGAGATTCAAGAATTATACCAACTTTGCAACATGATTTAATTCCACTTCTAACACTTCATATGTCTTAACTATATTGATGACAAGTCAAATCCAACTTCCAATTCTAATTATCAACTCTATATCAAAATTTCATTCAAGAACTCCAAATCTTTAATCTTCCCTAACTCTTTTATCTTTTGATTTTAAGATAACTTAAGATTTCCTTAAGCTTAGTTATCATCTAACAATCAAAACCCAAACTTTAAATTAACAAATAATCAACAGATCAGAAAGCTTACCTTTGCTTGGCTCTCTTTCACGTATGAAGAAAAAGAAGAAAGCTCTGGAGAAGTCTCTCCTTTCCCACGTGTATATATCCTTACCATATCCCATTTTTAATTCATTTCTTGGTCAAATGACCCTTTTGCCCTTTAATACGTTTTATAATTACTAGATAACCTTCATCATATTTCCAATAAATCATTGAACTATTCAATTATCCTACTTTAATCATCAATTTCTGAAACTTTACAATTTGGTCACTAACCCAGTATTGAGGATGTTACAGTTAAAAAGTTGAGTTTTCAAGCTCGAGTAATAATGGAGTACCCAATAATTCAACGCGCATAATGAAAGGCACGGATCATGATCTGTGCCTTCTGTACGTGTCAGACGTTTAGCAAAGGCGCGGATGGTCATCCACGCCTTTCCTTATGTGGCTCCAGCTCGGATAGAACCCCGAGAATGTGCGACTGACGATCCGTGCTTTATTACTACCGTGTCAAAAAAGATGATAGATCGGTAATATTAGGGGAGAAGGTGTATGACAGGTAATTATTGGGTAAAAGGGTGATTTTTGGATAGAAACGCCTTGAATTTGAGTGATTATTGCTTAATTTTCTAATATAAACCCACGTCTTCTCTTGCTCCTCTTTAAAGCAATTACGTCACTCTTTTGTATTTATTTGATTTTCTTCCAAGTAATAAAATAATACAAAAACTCGTATTTTTCTATGGTGATATGTTGAGTCTTTGCATCATTCCTTTCTTGTAGACTTGTTCATGGTTAAATTAATTTATTCGGTTTAACTGAATTAAATCAAATTTTAAATATATTAATATGAATTATGATCGTCAAAATCATGTTAAATTAGTCACTTAAACCAATGAGGTAAAAAAAAATATAAACCGTTAAAACAACTGAGAATTGCAGTGAAAATTAATGATCCGATTGGTTAAACTGTATTTTATTTTCTTTATTTGATTGTTCAGGATAGTTAATTCAACTGACTGAATTAAAAACTTATGATTTAATTGTTTAGATCCTAACCTAGTTTTTATATTATTGGTTTAAATATGAACACCCACGTCTAGGAATGGTCATGTTGTATCAGCTTTTTTTTATCATATTTAAATTTTAATTTAATTTTTAGGCTGAAAATATATTAATTGTTTCGATCTGTCATAAATAAATATATAAAAGATTTTTATTTTATTAGATAAAATAAAGACATGAATGAAGAGAGAGAAGTATTTTTCTTGGAACGAGTTAGGTTGAATATTTTCACCATAAATTCAGTTCCTACATAACTATATCTTTTAAAGAACCTAGTCTAACTCGATTTGGACTCAAAATTAAAAAAAAAAAAGACCATTTAAGTTTTAATATCATATCAAAATCTGTAACTACATGTCAAATATTCATTCCTACTTAAGGATGGTAACTAGTTGGATTGGATCGAGTTTTTATTAATTCGACCCGACTCAAAAAATATGTATCTTTCACTTTAAGTTGAATCCGATCTGATTTGACTAGATTCGATCCAAAAAATATATATCCCCTCTGACTCTGAACTGATCCAAATTTTTAGAATATACATCTGACCCGACTCAATCCGATCCGATATAAAATAATGACTAAATTAAAAAATATTTTTTTTAAAGAAATTACATTATTGTCTTGAGTCGGGTTAGGTTGTCAGAGTTTTTTCACTCTTCACCTAATCTTGATCCAACATCACTCTCTTAAAAAATCTGACAAAACCGATCTAAACTTGATTTTTTTTCTAAAAATATTTTACTATATCAAATTAGATTAAGTCAAAATCTATCAATTTCGGATTAAATTATTATCCTTATTTCTACCTATGTTAAAATAATAATGGATTTTTATATAAAAAAATCCAGAAATTAATGAAAATTTTAAAGTAAAATAATATATTTTATTATCTGTTTATTACGTAATCCCTTTACTTTAGCAAGGGAGATTTAAATCCCAAGTTGGGTAAAAATGCAAGCAAGTAGCCCCCAGACGCCAAAACCTCATTATTGCACAGACACATCTCTCTCTCTCTCTCTCTATATATATATATATATATATATACATAGATATATACATATATATATATATATATATATATATATACATATATATATGTATGTATATATGTATGTATATATGTATGTATACATATATATACATATATATATATATATGTATGTATATATGTATGTATATGTATGTATATATATATATATATGTATATATATGTATATATATGTATACACGTTTACCTATATATATATATAGCTTTTATCACAAAGTTGTCTCAAATCCCATTAAAGCTTTGAAGTTTCGTGCGCGTGTGTACCTTCTGGTCAAATCGTTTTCCATTACTCTCTCTCTCTCTCTCTCTAGTTGCAGTATTTCCCTATCCATGGTTCGTTCTACTCTTCCTAACTCATCGTCTTTTGACTTCTCTTCGTTTTTTACACGTTCTTGTGTTTCTGATTATATATCATATCTGGGTTTTCGATTTTGTTCTTCAGGCTCTTGAAGATGGAACTGTTCGATACGAAGAGGTGAGTAATCTGTGATCGATCATATATATATATATTAGCAGTTAATGAAGGAAAACTGAACGGTTTTCTTGCAGGAATACATCACGAATTCTCGAGGATTAAAGCTGTTCACATGCAGATGGGTTCCGGTGAACGAAGAACCCAAAGCTTTGATCTTCATCTGCCATGGATATGCCATGGAATGCAGCATCACCATGAACAGTAAGTATATATATATATATATATATATATATATATTATATGTATGTATGAAGAGATGGTGATCTGAAATCTGATGACTGGTGAATCCAGGTACTGCAATTCGGTTGGTGAAAGCGGGATATGCAGTTTATGGAATAGATTATGAAGGCCATGGAAAGTCCTCTGGTTTGCAGGGCTACATCTCTACCTTTGACAATGTTGTTGATGATTGCTCCGATTTCTTCACTAGTATTTGTGGTAAGTATCATCTAATTAAGACGGCGTTAAGATCAAATATTATCTAATCTCACAAGTCAAAGGAAGTAACTTAATCTGATTTTAATGTAACATGTATGTATCCGATCTCAATTAATCGATTAATTTGGATCTTGAATAAATTTTGCAGAGAAGAAGGAGAACAGAAAAAAGATGAGATATTTGTTAGGGGAATCCATGGGTGGAGCAGTGTTGTTGTTGGTACATAGGAAGAAGCCAGATTACTGGGATGGGGCAGTCTTGGTTGCCCCCATGTGTAAGGTAAATCATATTCTCCTTTTACTTTATTTTTTGGAAATAAATATTCCCTTAATTTTTTTATCCCATTGATTAATTATTTATTAATACAAGATTATATTCCCTTTATTTTCTAAAAAAATAATTTGATTTTTTATTCCATGTTCACATCATGTCCACCATATATATATATATATATATATACTTACTTAAAAATAAAATAGTTTTTATTAATAAAAAGTAACGTTGACCTAGAAATTAGTTATCAGAATAGTCTAAAGCTTAAGCTTTGATTTTTTTTCTCTTAAGAGAAAGTCAACAATTGAAAACGGTTATATTTAAAATCAAATTTTTAGATAAAAATATTGTGTTTATATTATTATTTTTTATTCATAAAACTCAAGATCTGTAACGGCATTAAATTTATCTATTATTATTTTTGTAAATTTTATGCTTTCTATAAAAATCTTTATTTAAATTTATACTAATTATTTTATAACTAAAAATAGAATTGTAGTAATTTATATTGATTTTAGTCTTCGGCCCTTCAAAAATGTCAAAACCTTACCTCACATAAAAAACAAATATAGGCCCACTGAATATTTTCAACACAAATTATTATAACTTTCTTAGTCAAAAAAATATTATAACTTTTGGTAAAATTACGACCTTGGTCCATCTACTATTTCAAAATTTAGTCCAAACATCTAGAATCAGGCTGGCGTGGACATTCAAACAGCTGTAATGACGGAATAAATTATCATTTCGTACTCTAGAAATTGTGTTCATTTTTGCTGCTTTTTCTATTATAAAAACGTCATCCGATTGATAAAAGTTTATAATAAAAATAATAATTTTAAATTGATTTATTTTAATTATAATATCAAAATTTAACTTTAACTAAAATAATCTAATATCTCTTTTCAATAATCAATGTGGGATTTACTCATTTTTAATTTACATGCACAGTTGGCAGATGATATGAAACCACATCCATTAGTCATAAGTGTACTGCGAAAGCTGAACAAAATTATTCCAACGTGGCGAATAGTTCCGGTCCAAGATGTCATTGATGCTGCTTTTAAACAGCCTGAGATAAGAGCACAGGTATTTGTTTTCCCAAGTGTAAATTACCCTATTAGTCACCCAGTTATTATTATTGTTTATTTTGATCACCATCCTTTTGGCAAAATCCTCATTAAGTTATTTTTTTATTTTTTCACCCAAGAAAATAATGTGGAAATTAAAAAAATGAGAAAAATTATATCATAATTATCATTAATTTTTAAACATCGGATGGCCAAAATAAAAAAGCATAATGTTAGTGATGATCTTTTTAAAAAAAAGTTTGATGACCAAAATAGTTTTTTAAATGTCATAATAATTAATTTATTGTTTGATAATTTGTTTTAATATATATAAATAATGACAATGAAAACAATTATATGTTTATATAAAATTATAGTTTATTAATTTAATTTACAGGTCAGAGCAAATCCTTATTGCTACAAAGGACGTCCTCGTTTGAACACTGCCAATGAACTTCTAAACACTAGCTTGGAGCTTGAGCAAAGACTTCATGAGGTTCGTTTATTCTTACCCTTTTTCGGTTTAATTTCGCCAAACATCCCCAAACTCATCTCTAATTGCAATTCAGTTTCTAAACTATTGATATTGTATCAATCTAGCCTTTCTATTATCGGGTTACTTTGGTCATAATTTGAGTACGTACGGTGAATTAATACTTCCTTTTTTCATAATTAAATCGAAAAAGATGTTTGATAAAACTTTATGATGTTAATTCAATGGGTTGGAGATTCGAATCTTAAAATTTTTGGTTACTAATTTGGAACAGGTTTCATTACCATTTATGATACTACACGGAGGAGATGACAGAGTAACAGATAAAGTAGTGAGCCAACTATTGTATGATGTAGCAGCAAGCTTGGACAAGAGTTTCAAGTTGTATCCCGGGATGTGGCACGGATTGTTATACGGTGAGACGCCAGAAAATATTGAGATCGTTTTTACGGATATCATTGACTGGTTGAATAGGAGAATAGAATCTGGAAATTCGAGGTTGGAGAGAGAATTGAAGCTTCAAAACGATGAGATTTTGATCTCAAAACATATTTGAACTTTCGGGTGATTAGGGTTTCTTAACAAACAAAAATTAATTGGGTGATATTGTGAAAATTATAGAAGAAAATTATCAAAAAGTTGTGTAACAAATTATATTTTTTATGCGAGGACATGTGTATCAATTTACATTTTCAATTTATTTTTTGAGTAGTACATTTTCAATTTATATGAGTTAACTGCACCATATGTACCTAAACTATGATCTTTACTTTAAATTGATCCTTAAACTTTTGAACATTCTAATTTCATCCCCAAACTGTGACACTTATTCTATATTAGTCCTTAAACTTGTGAATGTTATAATTTCATCCTCAAACTATGACCATCATTCTAAATTGATCCCTAAACTTTGGATGAATAGTCTATTTGGGGTCGATTGAAGATCATGAACATGGTCCTATCATCTCTTTTGCCTCTCAACCTAATTCACTTAAATTCTTTGACCATCATAATCCCTTAAAAAATAACATTTAGGTGTAAATAAGATATAGCATACACAAATTGTTTGAGTTTGATTAAAAAAAAACGATTCACTTCAATAATAAAAGAGTCAAATTCAAGCACCATAATATCGAATTCAAACGACTCATTAGTCTAATCGAATTTTTCATTAACGCATGTTTTAAATTTTTTTATATTATTAGATACCCTAATTTTACATACAAAAGATAATTCAAGTTTGAATTTCAACTTATACAAACAAGTTATCAACAGCCCATTGATTTGTACATCTAATCGAATCGATTGTAACCTAATTTGAATTGTTACATCTAACCGAATGGATTACGTGACGTAACATGTTCATGGCACGTTTCTTTGTGAAACCTAATTATTAGGTTACAATTCCATGGTGAAGAAGCCAAAGTGTCAATCCCACAAGTTAGCAAACAACTTTTCAAGGTAGCTTCAACCACAGACAAGTCCAGCAAATGTGGCACGCTTTGACAAGCCCTCGGAAAACATTGAAACTGTGTTTGCCGATATTATCAAGTGGTTAGACGAAAGAACAAAATGCAGAAATCCGCGGCCAGAGATGTTGAAGAACGTTGAAACTGATAATTTGTCTTTGAACAAGAAGAAACGAAAAGAAAAACACTAAAGCTCTGGTTTGCTTATGAGAAAACACCAGGAAATTTGACTCAGTAGTTCGTTCGTGGTTGTTTACTCGAAAGAGCAATGTTTGAATCCATTCTAGAAAAGATAGCGGGTGGTACACATGATTACCTATTTTCAAGGAAAATTCAATCCGGAAAGAAGGCAAAAACCGAAACATAAAACCCTAATCGAACAAAACATATCGAAAACCTGGTACATCATGGTAATAACTGAATAAAGTTTTTCAACGACAAGATTTAGGGTTTATCACAGGCAAGTTCGAGCAAGCAAGGAAGGAAAAAGGAATATACCTATATCTTTTACTGACTCGAACTTGCAGGGCCAACAAGAACTCCTTGAGCTGAGCCTTCCTTCTTGCTGCTTTCATCTTTTGCGTCGCCATCAGACTTTTTGATCCTAATCTTGTATTTTGTCTCGAAATCAACAATTTCCTTTTTCTTCTTCTCCAGGGTCTCGTTAAGCCGAGCAATTACTTCCTCGAGCCCTTCTTTGTTTCGCTGCACAGCGGGGAGAACCTCTTTGATGGTTCTCTCAACCAGCACACCTCCGATCATCCGGTAACACCGCCTTGATGGGTCAAGCGGCTGAATGGCATTTATAACTAGTGAATGCTCACTCACTTCCATCTCCAACTCGGTGATCTTAGAATAGATTTGGTTTAATTCAGATCTCATAGCTCCATACATATTTGCAATCACTTGTTCATTCACTGGTTCCTTACTCTCGGATTTGCTGGCCATTTTTTCTCTGTAAAAGAAGGAAATGATTCTAGAAGAAAAGAGCAACAGGAAATATGTTAAGGGAGACATGATACCACGGATTAGAGACAGAAATAAATCTTTGAGAACATACTTTCATGATCAAATAATAGGAAGATTAATGTTAAATGTTGCAGGTAGAGTCCACAGTGCAAAATCCTAACAGGGTAACACCGACAGCCGAGAATGAGTATTTGAACAACCACCGTTGAGCTTTAACAGTAAAAAAATCTAATTCGAAACAAAACTCAAAACCATCAAATGAAACTTATTCTGCCAGCTGGGGACCATACTCGAAAAAATTCACAAAATAAATCTAAACTCGATCAATTTTTCTAATGCGTACACCAATCATTTGCACATTATCTCAAAAGGAGAAGAAAACCGATGTCCACAAATGATACTACCAATAAACGAAAAGGAAGCAATACTCCGTAGACAACCTCAAGCAGCAACCAATTAGGAAAGCAAAACCTCTCGAGGAATCGGACTCAATGTTATAAGATCATGAATACAAATTGTGGCAACGGGTAATTTTCCGATCATGTCATATTAACCGGCAACATAACGGATGTTATCATTATCAATTGCTATAAACATCAGTCGAGAGAGTCCGAATTAAAAAAAAATATAGCATCAGCTCTATAAATCACAGGTGCGGGATTCGGAATCCAGAGTTAAAGCTGTAAAACAATTCAAGAACTTCTACACAATAATTCTTAACATAAACATGATTAAAAAACTAAAAGTTTATCGCCCTCGGGTATCAAAGCAAACAAAACCCTAATTAAATCTTAAATTTTATTACAAAAACCAATTTAAAAAGGAGCAGGATCAAGCTGGTATACATTTATCAGCTCAAAAATCATAAGGTGCGTATGATAAACAGTACTGCTTAATCTGCATCAAAGTTAACAATCAAATTTCTAGACTTTCTAGAGATCCAAAGAATACCACCCATTGTAGAAATTGAAAAGAACAGGAAAATAACAATAAAAAGAAAACCTGGGTTTGAGAGCCGGTGAGGTGGCGAATCGGAGAAGAAGACGGAGAAGAGGTGAAAATGGTAGGTTTCGACAGAGATTGAGAGACAAGGCGTGAAGTCGGCTGCTGAAATGGTTCAGTTTGGAACTTGGAAGAGACCGAATTACTTGGGCCGGTTTAATTTAAGGTTTTCTGCCCAATTTTTTTTTTAAAATAATGGAGAGGATCATTAAATTATGTTCAATTATTTTATCCTTCAATTTTTAAAAGTTATGAAATTATTATTATTTTTTAATATATATAAAAATTTAACTCGAATTTAATTGATTTTGATCTTATTTATCTTATAAGATTAGTATTTTTTTAATTTAAGTTTAGTTCAAGTCGAATTAAGTTTGAGTTTAGGATAAAAATATTCGAATTAACCAGATCCAAGATAATAACATAAATTTTACTATAAATTTAAGGATTATTGGCATATCTTTCTCAATATTTTTTCAATTAAATTCTTATTTTATCGAATAAAAATACTTTTTATATTATTTGAGTCAAGTGCAAGTTTCTAGCCTAGATTTCAGGTCAAATAAGAGATATAATACTCATATGAAATTCAAGTCGGCAAAAATTTGAAACCAATAACTATTTTATAACAATTATATTGACCTAATAAACATTTTATAATTTTTAAAAGTTAAATGATGAAAACAAAAATCCGAACATAATCGTTAACAATATGATGTACTTTACACTAAAATAATAAATAAAATGTCATACGAGAGAATATTTTTTAATACAACGACTAATCTACTTGTAGTATTTACATCAAAGATTAATTGAAGTTTAAACATTCTTGATCTACCTTCAAATGCTGAGAGTTACTTTGAAGTAAAATTTAGAGTATTAAATTTATTTTTTCGTTAAAAAATAACAATTATTCAAATTAAATTTTATTTTTAATTAATTATTATTATTATTATTATCATCTTTTGTAATATACAAGAAGAGGGGCATTAGATTATGTCTATCAATTAACAACTCATAAAACAATGGAGTTAAAAACAGCAACAACAGCAAATACTCGAATTCTGCACCAACACTGAGTTTTGCCTCCACTACACAACTAGTTTGCTTCCGAACTACTTATACAGTTCTCCCACCCTCGTCTCGTGCTTGCGACTCGACTCCGGCATCTGATTTCTTCCTCGTCTGCCTTGGATTCTGACACACTACAGCCTTCTTAGCCGCAATTCGTAACCCGCGGTCCAGGAAAAGACCTGCAAACAAAGGACCTACTCTCAAGCAATGATCCCAATAGGCACAAACTAATTAGATTATTGTTAAACTAATTGCATTTCAAGCAACAATAATCCAAACTAAATTACATAACATAAACCGAAACAGGAGAGGGAATGGAAGCTACCTTAAACTTTGATGCTATCAGCTCTGATCTCAAATGATCTTGTTTCGGACTTCCTCAAGTTTCTTCAGTATCTCCCCAGGAGTACGATCCAATTCGTCTGCAATTTTTCTCTGCAAATCCAACGGTAGGGTAGGAAACTGCTCACACAAATCCCCATCGATCACATCCTGCAAAATCAATTCAAGCTTTCATACCAGAAGTAATACGATAAATAATATTAGGTTCATAACCCTCACGAAATCATTTACACCAAAGACTATATGGCTAACCAGTGTTTGACGGCAATTATTTACACCAAAGAATCAACCTTCACTACATTTATCAAACAAATCATTTTTTTCTTTCGATAGCATGAAAATGAGATGGAAAATGAACTAGCAAAATGTAACGCTGATAAACAATTGTTGATGATATAATGAAAAAGATAAAATGATAGATACATAGTATTCGGAAAATCTTCCAATTTAACGACATGCCATCTGTGAGAATATGATTTCAATAAAATTCAGTGTATAAGGAAGCAGGAGGTTCACCTTGGCAGGGAAATAAGCAGATCTATAAGCCATATGATCGCGTCCACACAAGGGAGGGTGTTCTTGTCTCATATGCATCTCTAGGTGAGAGAAGAAGTCAACATCATCACGGGAAGTGAACGGGAGCAATGCCCCCAAGCTCCCCATTACTGTTCCATAAAGAACGCATTCTCCACCACTTGGTATAAGAGATGCCTTCTGCAAGCTAGTTACCACATCTCCTACATGGAACTGAACTATCTCCTCTACCTTGTTAGGAGCTCCATTGAGCCTCCCTTGTTCCCATTTTATCTTTCCACCAGTTGGATCTTCCTCAATTTCATCCGACACATCTTGTGGTAGCCGCACAAAATAGACATTCCCAAACTTGTCTGCACCAGCCATGGTGTCAAAATCAATGTGGAACGATGCAGTAAGCCATCTTGGAACAACATCATCGGCAAATATATACAGTTGATTTTCATCCCTCCTATACTTGCAAAAATGGAATGACTGCAATAAAGGACAACATTTAATATTAGTATGCGAATAATTGACAAAGGGAAGCAGAAAAGGAAGCAAAACAGGTATTCATAGAATCAAAGTGGACTCTAGTTTAAGAACCAAGACAGCATTAAAAAGACCTTGCAAACCTTTCTTACCTTCAATCATAGCCTAAATTAAATGGATGAGTTTAAAATAAAACAGGTTAAATATAAGGCTAAAATACGCAAAAATTGGTTGTAACTGATTTAGAGTAAACTGGATAACATTTTAAGTTGAAACCAAAAATATTACATTATCCATAACAAATCAAGTAAATTGCATGACTATTCTACTTGCAACCTAAAAAGTTACTGTCAAGACATTCTCAGTTGTAACCAAAATTATAATCAATTGTGTAACTTTTTAGTGTAGACGGGTAACATTCTAAGTTAAAACCTACCACAATGTAACATTTTCGGTTGTAACCAAAATAATGACCAATATTATAACTTTTTAGGTTGGACAGGATAACATTTTAGGTTAAAACCCGCTGCAAATTAGCCTTAGGTTAGGTCTCCGCACAGCAGAACTATCCAAATTAAATTGGTTGATCAATTTTACAAAATCCATATATAGTCAAGCATCACAATAGAAGACAAGCATACAAGTAAAAAAGTAAAATTCTCAAGATATGAGAATCCAGAAAAAGACTCAAAAACCATACCTCTTGGATGTCCCCGACATATATTCTATCCCGATAAGTCTGGATAGAGACAATAGTGTTAGGGAAAAGCTTATTCTCACATTTCCTAAGCAGTCTCTTTTTCCCCAAATCATATAATCGGAGCACAGATCCTATCCCAGCAAGTAGCCTGCCCTGAAACTGGCATAAAGCAAGAGGAACACCTTCCACTTGTGTCTTGTGCACAAGTTCAAGTGATCTACCATCTTCTAGAAACCTATAAATGTGAATGAATCCTGCAACTAAGCTTCTTTTGGGCCAAAATTGTAGCCCCTTGGCTGTGCCAACAGCCAAGAGAGTTCCATATTCTTTATCATGGAAATTCACAGTACACACACCGAAAGCAGCTTCGTTGTCCTGAAGCTCCAAAAGGCAAGTTGTGGCAGCTGTTCTAGGATCAAGAACTCTAATGCAAGAAGCCCACTTGTTCGACTCCGCCTTTGGATAACCATACTGCTCATCAGAGAGGGGATCCTCTTTGTCCTCATCATCCCCACCATTTTCCAATTGGTTCATATTACCGTTGCCATTTTCGCCCATCCCAGCAGCCTCAAAGCATTCCTTTCTTGCAGCTTCACGTTCTTCTGCAGTATATGATCCTTGGTCGCTCTCTATAATTACCAACAATTTACGCTTAGGTTGCAATACAAACCTCCTAGGAGTGTACCTCAAAGGAATAGCAGTCTCATTGAAGGTTTCTCCAAGACGCTCAATGGTGAAAACTCTCAGTGCATCCCCAGCAACGGCAACAACACCTTCGGCACACTGATCAGATGAAAATGAGGCAGCAAATTCAAGTGTCTCATATGAAAGGGGTGTTAACAGAAAATGTCCCTGGTGAATATAACCAAGCCATGGTCGACTAGACAAGCAAAGCATTGCAGGTCGGCCTCTAACTTTAACAGAGAACAACTTTGGGGCTCTGAGACCTAAGAATCGTGAACGGAATCAGAAAGTTGCCCTGTTATCATATCCACCACTGTCCGGAACAGAACTCCATTCTGCAGACCAGCATTAAGGAAAAGATTGGCAGGATGATCAGCACCATCCTCCCCACCGATCGATGCCTTAACTTCAAGGAAAAGAAGAGACTCAGGAGGTGAAGATACACTCTGAACACTCAGAACCTGCATACAGTCATCAGGATCCAAAGATAATATACGGATTGTATTATCATATGAACCAACAGCAAGAAAGCGGGACCTCTGTCTTCCTTCAGGAACAGGGGCAATGTCCAGACACACCACATCTCCAGACATTTCATGCTTCTCCACTTCCATCAATTGCCCAGTCATATCCACCTCAAAGTATATAAGCTCACCTCCACTCAGTGCAATAATGACTTGAAGTCCATTTGAGCCAACTTTAACAATTGTCCTTTTCCCAGGTGTTCTCCACTCGTTAATGCGTCCATCTTCCCTTATATGCCTGATACCATTTGGGTGAACTTGCATAAGTGAATCATCACCAATCACTGAAACAGCAAGAGAAGGGGTAGTATCGAGAAACCCACTATCACTAACTTCTTCAACTGTTTCACCAATGGAAAGAACAAGAGTTGCATTGGCAAATGACACGACAATGTATGCATCAAAGGCATCATTAACATTTTTCTTTACTGTCCACACAGCACTTGGAACACCAGGAAGCTGTGAGACAGCCATCTCACTGATGGCCAAACCAGGCCTTAGTATCCTCAATGATGAACGGGGAGCACGTCCACAAAGTGAATATATCTGAGGTGTTTCTTCCTCAAAGAGGTTAGCAATTTTCATGTCCATTATCGGCATCAGACTCTCGGCTTGGTCAATCCTAACTATATTCTTAAGCCCTCTTGGCTGGAAAAACACAGCCTGGAAACCTTCTTCTGTTTCCATCAATGTAGACGATGATGATTCAACATCAGGGTCATCCCCAATAGCCTGGAACTGATACAAAGCGTGATTGCCAAACTCTGACGCTGCAAATAGAAAACCAGTTTTCAACACACACATTGAAGCTGTAACTGGAATTGTATCAAAATACTTAATCTTCAACTCCGTGACTCCATCATTTCCATGTTCCAACGTGACCTTAAAAATATCCTCATACTCTGTCTGCAAAAGAAAGAAGAACATTGACTTCTGCTTATGTGTAGCTGCTGACACAATCAAAACACTGCGTTCTTCTGGCAAATCAGCCCGTCTAGGAATCACTGCTCTAACGTCTGGATGCCCCTGATTCTTATAGATAACAAAATTCTCAGCACATACTAAAACCCCACTCGGCCCATCACCACCATCAGGCACCGTGACCAACATATTTGCGCCATTATCAACCTGTTCCGACCACTTCCTAGACACATGGTTAAGCCCTAAATCAAGTTCATAGAATGTCAAATGCTTCTGTGCCTCACCAGCAGCCACTCCCGTAGAATCCTGATCTGCCTCCGAGTAATCCAATTCAATGGCAGCGAAAATAGGGTTATCGAATCCACAATCAACACCACAGATGGAGTAAACTATCGTATGTGACTTATGAGCTTCTAAAGGCGAAGAAATGGTTAATCTAGCAGCAGTATCTCTGTTCAAAACATAAACTAATTTCTGTTTCTCACAGGCACCAATCATTACAGCTCTTCCTTTCGGGTCAATAGCTAAGTATTGACCCGGGACAATCCGCCGACACCCAGATTTTCCAAAAGTTTCTTGGTGAACTTTATCAAAGACATTCTTCTCTTTATTGTATTCAAGGATAACAATCCGACCCGAATCTGATCCTACTACAATATAGTCCTTTTGAGCTCCGGTTAGCCGGAACTGAGCTAGGGAACGTATGCAGCCGAAAATTTCGACGGAGTGAAGTATTTGGAGCTTACCGAGTTCGTCGGGTCGGAGAACAGAAAGGATCTTACCACGGGCAACGACAATTTCTTGGATTTTTCCGCCGGAGAAGTTGCCATTTATGGCGGAAACGATGCCGGTGGCTTGCTGAAGGGTTAAATTGTATAGATACATGGGCGTTTAGGGTTTTTGAGATTTAAAAGGGGGTTTCGCGTTACTCTTTTAAAAGGGGTTCACCCAGAGCTTGTGGGAATGATTAAAAGTAATCTGAGAAATGAAAATAGTGGGAATTATCTTGCTGTAAAGTTCAGAATAGAAATGAAATAGAAACCCTAGAAGGCAAAATCGAAGGAGATGCCCAAATCGATTTGAACTTTAGGGTTTTTGGGCTCAATTTGGGCCTTGTACCTCCTAACTCTTTATCTTACAGCCTAAAAGGTCTAATTTTGATTTTAGCCCCTCTACTATACTAAATTCAAGAATTAATCATGTACTTTAATTTGACAGGTCTTTTCAATTTTACAATACTATTAGTAGGTTCATCTCGAAAAAAATTGACAGCATTTGCTTTTTAATATTTTAAATATAGAAACAAAATCTTCAAATTTATTTAACTACATTTACTAATAATACATTTTAACTTTTTTCTTATTTATATGTCTCTGATGTGATATCAAAGATTGTTAAAATACTCAAATTCGACTCGAATTTATGAGGTCGATTTCTTTTAAAATTAAGGTTCATGGTTGATCGAGATGATTTTTATGAATGAAAGAAATGGTGGGATATAATCTGGTTAAAGGAAAAAACCGTTGATTCAATCTAACTTGAAATAATTAGTATAATATCCCACTATATTTAAAAATGGCTATTATAACGTACCTATATATATTTTATCAATTATCTTTTTATTTTACTGAATGAAAATGAAAAAAATATATATATCATTAAATATTAGGATGGCATAAGATCATTTAAGTTTTTAATCAATATCGAAATAACAAAAAACAACTCGTCTCGACTCATACCCATTCACATATGCTACCGTAAAAATACTGAAATCCCAATAATCAACCCTCCCAAACTACTGTAAAAATACTGAAATCCCAATAATCAAACCTCCAAAACTAAACCAAAAATAAAGGGAAATCCAACATATCTCTCATAACCGTTTTTAGGTGGAACAATTATTTATTGTTTTAAAAATAGTTACGACTTTAATTTGAAAAATTCAGTGATTTTGAATTAAATTGGATAGAGTCGCCATCGGCCTTTGGGTTAGGTAGGTCGATACCTAAAAACGTCTTTTAAAAATAATTTTAAAAAATAATTTTTTAAGACAAAAGCTGGTATGCGTTTACAAAGATTCAATTAAAATGGGTTCGGGAGTCAGTTACACGTGGGGAAGGATTAGCACCCCCCCACAGCGCCCAAAATTAGTACTGTGTTGCTTACACGTTGTCGTAATGGTGGAAATCCTTAATCAAATATAAAGTTAAAATATGATCCAATTATTGAACATTAATTAATTTGCTTCAAATTAATTAATTTAAAGAAGGAAATTCAAATGACTGAAATGAAAACAAATAAATATTACAAACCTAAATACAAATAACAAAAATAAGTATTTAAATTTATAAAGACCAAAATAGAGGAAAAAAACTAAAAAAAACTTTAAGGATCAAAATAGCAAATATAGAAAGTTAAAGAACTAAAATGGAACAAACAGAAATTTTAAGTTCTAAAACAGTAATTACAGAAATTTTAAAGACCAAATAACACAAATTGAAATTTAAAGGACTAAAATACAAATATCTAAAATTATATGCTAAAATTCGAAATAATTAAAAATATATAAATTACATTGACCAAAATAAATACACATGAAATATAGAGGATTAAAATATAATTAAACTAAAACATTCAATATCAAATTAGTGACCAAAACAAAAGATACACAGATATGAGGACCAAATCCGAATATTAAAAAATGCATAATATGTAAAAAAAGGGGACTAAAATATAATGAAAGTACAAAATACAAGCTAATTTAAGATTTAACCCAAAATACAAAACAATGACTAAAATGCAAATTTCATAAACAAAGAGAACAATTTCTAATATTAATAAAATTCACATAATAATGATCAAGTGACAAGAATACAAAATTTATAAAAGCATGGCATGAAATACAATATAAATAAAATATAACAAATATCCATATGCGAAATTTAAAAAACATGGAGGCAACGTACATGTAATTTTATCACGAGAAAATTATAAACAGACCCCTCCCAAAACAGCAACGTTTAGGTCGGGGTATATAAGCCCAAAAAGGGGCTTAGCTTCCTTTATTTCTCATTCGGTCTTTCTCTAAGAAATTAGGGGGGGGAGAGAGTCTCAAACTCTCTCAATTCCTCAACAGAGAAGGTTATGGTCACCGTAGCCACCGGCGGCCCACGGCGACGCTTACGGTGGCCGGAGAGAGAGAAGCCCCCAAAAGACTCCTCTCGCTCTTCACAACCCAGTTCCAAGCCCCCTTAGCCTTAATCCGACCCTAAAACCATAGATCTACAAGAGACACCGACGACTTTTGGTGTTACCGATAACTTTTCGACTAAGGTTTGTGCTTCTCTTTCTCTATTTGATTTAAGGTTCTCCATTTCTCTCTGTTTTTTTTTTGTGTTTTGTTCCAGCCCCCTATACCGAATACTCCCCCCTTTTTCTCTTCGAAAACTCATTCCTTTATGTTTTTTCACTCACCGAATCCCTCTTGTTCTTTTCTTTTTTTCTTGCTTTTTGGTAAGATGTGGATATGTTTATGTAAAGTTTAGGTGAGTTTTGGTTTATTTGCTGACTTTTGATGGCTAATTTTTGGTGGTTGATAGGCGTGGATGATGACAAAGGTGTGGGGTATGGGAAATGGCACATTATGGGGGAGCAGAGTGAGTTACACAGCAGACAGGTATGGGGGACAAAAATTGATGTTTACAGCTGCCCCTCTTTACTCATTGTTGTAAAACAGGAATAGAGCAAATAAATAAAACAACAATTTTTGGACTGTTAACAAGTCTCGAGTTCCAAATTCTTCTTATTATGAACTCTTCATTCTTTTTTAAAGGCATCAGTTGAGGTTGAGCAAGCTCTTCTTTGATCGGATCCCTTTTCCTCGAATAATCATTGTTTGTTGACAACATTCTTCTTGGAGGTAATTTTGATGCTAAAAATGACGTTGCTCATTTACGTTGAAGAGATCTGGCCGCTTTCAAGTAAATTATTTGCTGAAGATGAGACTGTTCCTTCTCGTTGAGGAAGTCTGGTCAATTTTGGATCAGTTGGGTCCTGATGGGCTACTGGATTTGAAGCAAAAACTTGATGGGTTTTCCATGTGAGTTGTTTATTGGGCCATCGTTTGGGCTTCCTGTAATGGCTTTATTTCTGAGCGTGATGAGGAAATCTAGTAGGTAGATGACAATGTTTGTTGTGATACTAAGTCGATCCATTGGGCACAATATTATTCTTCGTGAAGTTAAAATCGTGGGTGGCTCATTCGTCGTGAAATTGAGCTTCGAATTGGATGTCCTTCGTTGTGAAGTTGAAATCCAATATTGTAAATTGCATCACTTTCGAGTTCAATATATTTCGCTGTGAAGTTGAAATTGACTCTAAATGAAACTATTTTTTTATTGTTGTGTTGCAGAGGACTCATTCATTGTGAAGTTGGGTCAATCTTTTGGGTACGATATCCTTCGTCGTGAAGTTGAAATCATGAATGACTCATTCGCTGTGAAGTTGAGCTTTGAATTGGACGTCCTTTGTTGTGAAGTTGAAATCCAATCTTGTATTGCTGCTTGTGGGCATGATATTCTTCTTCGTGGAGTTGAAATCGTGGATGTTTCGAGTCCAATATCCTTCACCGTGAAGTTGAAATTGGTTCTGAATGAAACTGGGAAGTTGTTTGTTGATAGACGCTCCTTCTTTGAATTGGATATCCTTCGCTGTGAAGTTGAAATCCAATATATGGAGGGATTCTACTTGTGCACACGATATCTTTTGTCGTGAAGTTGAAATCGTGGATGGCCCATTCGTTGTAAAATTGAGCCTTGAATTGGATATCCTTCGGCGTGAAGTTGAAATCCAACCTAAAGATGAATGTTGCTGGTAGACACGATATTCTTCGTCATGAAGTTGAAATCGTGGATGACCCATTCGTTGTGAAGTTGAGCCTTGAATTGGATATCCTTCGTCGTGAAGTTGAAATCCAAAAGATGAACGTTGCTGGTGGGCACGATATCCTTTGTTGTGAAGTTAAAATCGTGGATAGCCCCTCCGTTGTGAAGTTGAGCCTTGAATTGGATATCCTTCGTCGTGAAGTTGAAATTCAATCTTGAGCGAGTTTCGCCAAATTGGCTTTAAGTTGAATATCCTTTATTGTGAAGTTGAAATCCAAGTATTGTTTCACCAAATTGGCTTTGAGTTGGATATCCTTCGTTGTGAAGTTGAAATTCAATCTTGTGTTGTGTTACTTCGAGTCCAACATCCTTCGTTGCGAAGTTGAAATTGACTCTGACATGAATCTACAAAATTATACACATATGCGATGCTATGGATGCAATGCTCTTATGTGTGTCTAAAATGTATATACGAAATATGTTATTTTAGGATTTGGAGAGAGATCTCAATCTCTGTTTGTCAGTTTTGATGACTCTTGATTCTGGAATCTTGAATTTTTTATTCTTGATATTGAATTCTTCAACATGCTTAAATCCGATGATGATGTTGATCTGTGAGGTGAATAGTTGCATGAGCACTCTTCATTCTATCTTTGTCTTAGTTTATCTTCATTTCCACCATAGTGTACTCTTGTAAACCTCAACCTGAGATAATTTATTTTACTTTCCCCATCAAATTTTTGCCCCCAAAATTTGGCTTCTCTTTTCCCCAACTTCGATCTTGAGCTTCAAAAAGATATTCAAGACACTTCCAGAGAACTTATCTTACTTGAAAATGCTTTTCTTCCTTTGAATTTTCAAAATTTTGAAAATTATCAAAAAGAATTTTGAAAATGTTGCCTCTTTATAGTTTTCACAATTGACAAATTATAAAACAAGAGTTCATCAGATATCAAAGAATTAATTACACTGTTAATCCTTCAATAAATTTTAGCTATTTGACAAGTGTCAAGATCAAAGCTATCTTTGGGAAATGGTAAGGAAATGATAAAAGAGTCTCAGGTTATTGTGTTTGGTCAAAGGTTGACATTCTTGATGCTTAATGGTTTGATAGGGTAGCTTGTATGATGCCTTATCAAGGAATTTGTATGATGCCTCATGGTCACATTCGGGTTGTATGATGCCTTATCAAGGAATTTTTATATTCGAGCTACCTTTTCAGGTTTTCAACTCGAATCCTCCTTTGGTTTCAAAACGTTATTCAGAATTTATGTCTTGAACCCCCTTTGTTATTTTTCTCTATCATGCATTAAAGATTTTAGAAAACTTTTTGCAAATAAAGATTAATCCTGATGGGCGGGATGAAATCTGAAGATAGTCTCTTCTGTTCAGAAATCCATGTATGATTAGAAGGGACTTTTAAGACACGTAACGTAGGCCATGATTCATGGTTATAAAAAAAGGATAAATAGGCCCAAACAAGTATTTCAGGGTATTGAACCAAAAATTAATTCATTTTGATGCCTTCAATCATGTCTTGCTCAATTTGAATCTGCTCGTATGTCTCTCTCTCTTGATGCTCTATGATCTTTGAGTGAAGTGATTCTGGAATAATTATGCTCGATCAATCTCATAGTTTGAAGCTTGATGCACCATTTGAGTTTAGGGAATCTTTGTATGTGCTTATTGTCCCTTTTTTTGCTTTTTCTTTTTCTTCTTTTTCTTTGCTTTTTTGATTCTTTTTATTTTTTCCTTTTTGCTCTTTGTTCTGATTGGATCTTCACACTTGTCACTTGATTCACCTTTTGGTATCTCCTCTGGATTGATGTCTTCACTCATGTGAGCAGATTTCTTCCACCTTGCCCCCCAGTGTGGAGGGTGATCCTTGGTTAGGGTTGAATCGAAGAAAAAATACTATAGGCTCAAAAGGGGACAACAAGGGATATATATATATACATATATGGATAAATGAAACAAAGCCGTTCATCATCTCATACACAAAAGTCTTCGCATAAGAGGTATCCCCAGGGGGATAGATTTTTAGGATTAATTTTATTAACATGAAAAAAATGTAATTAAAGTATGATAGAATTATTTCGAATGAATTCTTCTTTCTTCTTCTTGTTCCCATCATGTCTCAATGTTTAGGCTCCATGCGAGATGCCCCAAGTTGTGTCTTAGAAGAATGCTCAAATGAACTACTCAACGCCTTAGGTTTTATTGGAAAAATGTTGGTTTTACGTCTAAAAAGATGATGGTGTGACTTTATTGACTCAAAGGTATGGGTATGACTCTTTGTATCTTCATGAATAATTTTGGGAAAATATCGAGGGATTTTTTTGTTTTATATAGGATAAGAAATGTATGATCTTGCCATGTGTCAAAAATATATAATTCTTGAAGAATTAAAAGAATCTTTAATTCATTTAATATTCGAAGAACTAAAGATTAAAACTCGTTCAATTATTCCACCTTAGAATGTAACATAAATTCATTCGTTTAAAAGATTAAGCAAATATGAAAGCTAAAAAACGTGTTCAAACAAAATAATACTCTCAGTGCAAATGGTAGATGCAATGCCCCATTCTTCGATTTTCCATGCCCTTGAACCCATCAGGTTTTGGATCTTGTGTTTCAGTGCCTTACAGTTCTCAGAGGAATATCTAGAGCTTCTTATGTGGTAACTGCACATAGCTTCAACATCATAAATTGTAGGGAATGTGAACTCTTCTCTTAGATCATCCTAGAAGGCTCAATCCTACAACCTGTTGAACAAACTTCCACCGCACTGATTTCAGTTTTTTCTTTAATTGTTCAAATCTTGCTTCCATGTGGTGTCACATGATTAGGACCACTTCATCGAATCCTCCATGAAGAAATTTCATGTTTATAAAAATGCTTAAAAATGAAATGTAGATGCAAAATGCAAAAATACATGAAATGTTCGAGGCATTGATCCGAAAACATGTCTGTTATTATAAATAATCTTTATTGGGACAAAAGTGTTTTATCTTTTAAGAGACAAAAATATCAAAGGTATATTCTGACTAAATCCTCTAGACCCCGAACGGCTTCTAATAGGTTGATTAGTCATCCTCTTTTATCTGTCGTTGGTTGAACACCCTATCAAACCGCTCTGGATTCTTTGGCTAAACTGTGCAAGTGACGAGCTATTTTTTGTACTTTTTCCTGAAGTATCGAATGACTGCACCTTTGTTGAACATGTTCCCTAACAGAAACGTAATTGGAACCTTCCATCGTTAGGAGTTATCCGAAGTTCATTTGCTTGTTTCTTGAATTTGTCAATAATGGCCTCCAATTTCAGCTATCGTTTTGCTCTTGTTGTCTTTGAAGGGACTCTCCAGGTCAGTAACATTTTTCTCATCTTTCCCCTGCAATCTTTGCCAACCTATGTTTGGAAGGTTAACTTTTGATGTGCTCGGTGTAAATCCCGGTCCGTTCTGAATCCTTTATAATGCAGCAGTGTGTCATATTCTTCGATTACGGGTACTACGTCTTCTTGGTTGGCATGTCTTACAGATTGTCTCCATGACCATAGCTGAACCTCTGCATTTTTCACCTCTTATATTACAACCCTTTTGTCCATTAATGCAAATTATTTAGGTTTAACGAACACGTTTTAGTGGATCAACACATCTTTTAAATGATGCAAATGATAAAAATAAAATGAAAGAAAAAAAAAAAAAATGAAGAAAAAAAGTTAGTGGGATAATGATAATAATCAAAACAATAATGAAAAAAAAAATCCTACCCCACATGATATCTACCCCACATGCTTATTATTCCTACCCGGACATGATCTCTATCCTGCATTTTAATTTTGAACAAGTCCTAACCGCATAAATTTCTAGTTCACATGCTTTGAACAAAAAATAAAGCAGGAAATAATCTCAAAATAGCCTAGGGTTTGAAATGAGGTTTTGGGGTGGGCTCTAACTCCTTGTAGTCTCCTGGTTTATGTTCTATAGAAGGTACCCGAGTTCTCCTTGCTGGTGCCCCCTTGGGCTAGCCAGACCCTTAGTCCTAAGCCCATTACAAGCTTGTGTGGACTAAGTTAAACTCGAGAGGATACATTCCCTTATGTCTGTGCGGTGAATAAATTCACACGAAGACATAAGTTATATGAATCCCGAAGGCTACTTGCTAGGCCTATGCGGAGAATAAATTCTCACGAAGGCATCGCTTTTACCCCCATTTAAAAAGGGTTCGGAGCTCGGGTATAGAGCATGAGATGAAAACTTTTGAAAATATGAAATCATTGAAAAAACGTCAGTACAACTATTAATTTGAAAAATAATCAAAGATAAATAATTAGAATCAAATAAATAAATTAAAATTAAAATTTATAATTTTCGCTTAAAAAGACAACCAGAAATTAATTCGGCCTGACTCACTTACCTGAAGTCTCCAACAAAGTCGCCAAGCTGTCATAACCGTTTTTAGGTGGAACAATTGTTTATTGTTTTAAAAATAGTTACGACTTTAATTTGAAAAATTCAGTGATTTTGAATTAAATTGGATAGAGTCGCCATCGGCCTTTGGGTTAGGTAGGTCGAATACCTAAAAATGTCTTTTAAAAACAATTTTAAAAAATCATTTTTAAGACAAAAACTGGTCTGCGTTTACAAAGATTCAATTAAAATGGGTTCGAGAGTCAGTTACGCGTGGGGAGGATTAGCACCCCCACAACGCCCAAAATTGGTACTGTGTCGCTTACACGTTATCGTAATGGTGGAAATCCTTAATCAAATATAAAGTTAAAATATGATCTAATTATTGAACATTAATTAATTTTCTTCGAATTAATTAACTTAAAGAAGGAAATTCAAATGACTGAAATGAAAATAAATAAATATTACAAACCTAAATACAAATAACAAAAATAAGTATTTAAATTTATAAAGACCAAAATAGAGGAAAAAACAAAAAAAAAACTTTAAGGATCAAAATAGCAAAAATAGAAAGTTAAAGAACTAAAATGGAACAAACATAAATTTTAAGTTCTAAAACAGTAATTACAGAAATTTTAAAGACCAAATAACACAAATTGAAATTTAAAGGACTAAAATACAAATATCTAAAATTATATGCTAAAAATCGAAATAATTAAAAATATATAAATTACATTGACCAAAATAAATACACATGAAACATAGAGGATTAAAATATAATTAAACTAAAACATTCAATATCAAATCAGTGACCAAAACAAAAGATACACAAATATGAGGACCAAATTCGAATATTAAAAAAATTCATAATATGTAAAAAAAATGGGACTAAAATATAATGAAAGTACAACATACAAGCTAATTTAATATTTAACCCAAAATACAAAACAATGACTAAAATGCAAATTTCATAAACAAAGAGAACAATTTCTAATATTAATAAAACTCACATAATAATGATCAAGTGACAAGAATACAAAATTTATAAAAGCATGGCATGAAATACAATATAAATAAAATATAACAAATATCCATATGCAAAATTTAAAAAACACGGAGGCCACCTACGTGTAATTTTACCACGAGAAAATTACAAACAAACCCCTCCCTAAACGACAGCGTTTAGGTCGGGGTATATAAGCCCAAAAAGGGGTTTAGCTTTCTTCATTTCTCATTTGGTATTTCTCTCAGAAATCAGGGGGTGTGAGAGAGTCTCAAACTCTCTCAACTCCTCAACGGAGAAGGTTATCGTCGCCGAAGCCACTGACGACCCACGGCGGCGCTTACGGTGGCTGGAGAGAGAGAAGCCCCTAAAAGACTCCTCTCGCTCTTCACAACCCAGTTCCAAGCCCCCTTAGCCTTAATCCGACCCTAAAACCATAGATCTACAAGAGACACCGATGACTTTTGATGTTACCGACAACTTTTCGACTAAGGTTTGTGTTTCTCTTTTTCTCTTTGATTTGAGGTTTTCCGTTTCTCTCTGTGTTTTTTGTTCCAGCCCCCTACACCGAATATTCCCCCCCTTTTCTCTTCGAAAACTCATTCCTTTATGTTTTTTCACTCACTGAATCCCCCTTGTTCTTTTCCTTTTTTTCTTGCTTTTTGGTAAGATGTGGATATATTTAGGTAAAGTTTAGGTGAGTTTTGGTTTATTTGCTGACTTTTGATGGCTAATTTTCGGTGGTTGATAGGTGTGGATGATGACAAAGGCGCGGGGCATGGGAAATGACACATTATGGGGGAGCAAAGTGAGTTGCACAACAGACAGGTATGGGGGACAAAAATTGATGTTTACACTCTCCTCATAATATTATAAATGAAACAAATGATTCGGTCACTTATGGGGTTTTCACCTACTTCATATCATCAAATCCACTATCTCATTATATGTGGTATAAATACATGGATGCATGTATGTATGCATATGTATATCCTATATATATGAAACTGTAAATCTTTCATTTCATCCATCAAATTGTGTTATTTTTCAGCTAAAACAATCTTAAAAATGGCTAAAACTCCTATGTTCACATGCAAATCATTCAAGACTTTAGTCTATATACTATTGTTGGCTATCAACTTCACTTGTGCCAATTCATCAAGAGTCCTTGATGAGGTTGTGAAACCCCAAATTTTGGTTAGTGATCAAAACATAATTTTTTAAAGCTTGATGACCAAAATATAAAGATAGAAAAGTTTAGAGACCAAAAATGTAATTTTTAAAAAGTTAGGTAATTTGACCCTTTTAATAAATAGTTCACCCTTAAGTGTGGGGTTCGTGGGAATCATATTTTGGATTCAGAATTTATGTTAAAAGCTATAAATTGTTAAAGTCAGGTAAAAATTCGGTAAATCGGATCTAATAAAAATTTTGGGAAAATTGAAAGTTATATTAAACAAGCTTAAAAATATTATTTCCACATGTCAAAATGATTAAAAATAATATGGATAATTGGATTTGAGAAATTATTGCCAAGTTTTAATTTGGACTATTGGATGAAAAATGACAAGATTGAAATTTTGGAAAGATTGCATGGGTAAAGTTGAAAATGGTTAATTAATTTGTTCATCTTTAACTTTATAAAGATGATAAGAGTTATATGGCTTGGTATTAAGGTAGATTTCAAGTTTCATTAAGGGCAAAATGAATATTTCTCATTAAATAAATATTATATTCATTTAAGCTTAAATATAAGGTAACTTAACATGAAATTAAGGAGAAATTTCATGAAACCGAGCTATTTTTTAGCTCCATTTCGTGCTCTCCCATACCTAGGTAAGAGAAATTTTGTTTTTCAATTTAGAGCAATTTTCTTTGGATTTTGGATCGAGCTGTGAACTAGAAAATTGTTCTATTCGAAAAACGCTATCATTTGGTATTATTATTGCATGCTAATTTGATTTGTGTTCAAAGATCCCAAATTCTAGGGTTTATGTTCATATTAGAGTTTCATGATTTGATGAATGGTTTAGATGTTATTGAGGTTGTAAAATCATTTACAAGCTTGATTGTCGATTAAAATCACCTCATGTTTGTACATGCTTATGTTGATTTCGGCTTAACCCTAGATTTGGGGAAGATTACTATTTGATGAAATTAAGTTAGGGGTTTCATTGTAGAGATTTTATAATGTTGAATAGAGGTTGGTTTCACTCTTGAATCAAATGAAAATATTGAATCCCTTACACATATATGGTTCGACCTTGAGGAAATAAGTTTGGAAAAGTTGTAGCAAAATTCACATGGCTTAGAAATTATATTTGGAAGGTTCTACAAGCCTTAGAAAATTTTGGGTCATTTTGTAATTTTTCAAAAGTTGAGGAACCTATTCGGTAATTTTAAAAAAGTTATTGTGTGACTGTATAATTACTCAATAATTGATGTAAATTGCTGAAAATTACTATTTGATGGCTGAAATTGAAGTTAGAATGTGAAATTAAGCCATTTTGGAAAGTTGACAAAGTTTAAGTATAAAATGGTAAATATTGAGAAAGTTAGTGGCTTAAGTGGTAATTATGGTATTGTTGAGATATTGGGCTGGAAATTTAATGCTGGAAATTTATTGGGTTTAATTGGGCCTTGAATTGAATGTAATAATGACAAGGGCCCATTATGAGTAAAAAGGAAAATTTATGATAAATTTTAGAAGAATTCGAAAATAATAATACTTTTGGGTATTATTATCATATATAAAATGTTAGCCAGAGTACTAACATGTATTTTATATTTGTATGTGCTTGTATGGATACTTGTGTAGATCGTGATCAAAACTATGGTACAAGCAAAGCGAAAGGCAAAGAAAAAGTCCAAGAGTAATAGGATATTGACAGTAAGGCATAATAGTGAGACATACCAGGTGAGTGCATTTATTATGTACTTATATGATATGAGGACGACTTGCGATGAGTCAACCTCGAGTATTTTTATTTAAATATGTTTTAACGCATTTTGAAATATTTTTATAAAGTTTATGAAAATGATTTTACGAATGATTTTAGGGTATAAACTGCCCTAAAACGAATGTATGTGTTTCACACAAATTATTATTTATTAATGGTTTGGAATAAATGTTTAACCTACGATTTAGATTTTAAAGCCTATTGTATGTACATGGAGAATTATAGGTGCAATAGTAATACCAAAAATAAGGTGGTATTGTAGTAGTACTTTGTGTACTGGAACAATATGTATGTAATTGACATACTTGGTGTGTGATGAATATCTATCAATTTTGTTTAATGCATTATTGCATTTTCGTACCAGTATTTTGTGTACTTGGAGTAGTACTTTGTGTACTATGGTACTTTGTGTGCAAGGATGGTAGTTGTACGAGATTACTACTCCGGAAATGGTTAGTATAGTATTGTTGTGTACCATAGTACTTATACATTATTGTGACACTTCGGTGCTTATTGTGTACATTGCATTCTCATTTGTCATACATTGGGCTATGAATGAATATTTTGAAATATACTGATTGATAAGTATGCTAGGCATACAAAATACTGTTTCATAGGTTATTTGATGGAAAATTGGCCTATCAAGTAAGCTTTATGCGTTAATATACTTTATACAATTAAACTCATATTTTGATCTTTTATGAAATATTTATGTTTTAATATGCCTCACTAAGTGAATACTTAGCGTGATTATTTTCACGCATAGGTAATAACGTACGATCGAAGTGAGGAGTGCAACTGATATCATCTGTCAAGAATTGTCGAATCAGTAACAATATGACATCTCTAGACGTTTAATTTGATATTACTAGTTGGCATGTATTAATTATATTATGATGTTGTGGTATGGTATTTGATAATGGTTGTAGTTTTATATTATATTGAACTGAAACTACTACGTGATAAACTTAAAAGCTATTTTACATATTAGTAGTTAATAGATGTTTTTAATATTATAAAATTAAACTGTTTTATTTAAAGAGACAAAATGTTTATAGATTTTTAAGTATGAAAATGTTTTTAAAGTTATGTGACATCTACGACTCGTGTACATGAACGAATACGGGAAATAGGTGTTATAGAGGTGGAATCCGCCATAGCAATATCCAGTCCAGGAGTAGTGGCAGCTGCCACACCGACAAAACCAGACCCGCATGAGCCATCGTTGTCCTTTTTCATGCATGACATCTTAGGTGGATCACACCCATCAGCTAGGGTGGTGACCAGTGTGATTGTCAACTCAGAAATCAACGGCATACCATTCTCTAATACCAACAACGACATTTCCCGGTAGTCAGCACCACTCTACTTCTGACCGGCGGTGTAACACCCCTAACCCGTACCCGACCCAAATACGAGTCCAAAGTGTCACATTGACTTTTCAAAACATTGACTCACAACAAATAAATAAACCTTTAACTTTTATTCATTATAACAATGTGAAACCTTTAATTTAAAATAAAGCATAAAACTTCCATTCATACTTAAATAAAAGTCCTTAATAATTTACATAATTACAAAAGTATGAGTTTACAAAAATAAATCAGAGCATTTCAAATTAAACATATAGTACATGCCAACAATTTACAAAATTTCAGAAAACCTACATTCAATCAAGGGAGTATGCTATTTTCAACAACATCAACCATCAGATTTCTTCAAACCTATGCGTGAGGAAATCAAACGCTAAGTCGATGACTTAATGAGGCAAATACTAAAGAGTACTAAACTTTATAAGCGAAATCTTTATTTATTTATTCGAAACATTTCATAAAGAATTCCAAATTATTTTCCATAACAAGAAGGTATACTTTTGTATATTATTCGTTTTATATAACTTTGTTTTCAAATACCCAAAGTATACTACTGAGAACTCTAGATATTTGAGTACATTGAGGTTGTGCGTTAATGTTTTCACCATAGCTCGTAATTTACACCGAAGTACCATATAATTGTCTCGAATGACCACATTGGGTTATCCCGAATGACTATATAGGGTTGTCCCGAAGGACCACATAGGTTTTGTCCCGAAGGACCACATAGAACCCTCGACTCTTGGCATGCCAACTATACCTCTAATCCTCATACATATACCTTGGGCTTTTAACCACATAATTATTTGTCATTCATTATTCAAAGTATCTCTTATTCACATAGACACTTTCACCTTGAGTATTTTCAGATACACATGTTCATAGGTCACATTTCCATAATCATATACACATAATCATAAAACATAGCTTACATAATATAAATTGAATAAAATTTTATAAAAATATAACATAAAAGAAATTGAAAGGTTTTCTATCGAAAACATTGAAGTTGGCTTATCGTAAGCCTTCCTCAATTCTAATACGAAACCCAGAAGTTGCACTCACCTTTGCCTCACTGAAGTCCTAAACAAAGTCCTTAACACTTTTGATCGATAACTTATAATGTCGAGTTGACCAGAAGTTGATTTTTTCAACGTCTACTCAAAATAATCAAAAATAAATATCGAAATTCAAATAAATTATATCCAATCACAATAACTTAAGCTGAAAGAAACTCTTAATTTCTCATTTTATGCTCAATAGTATCGGTACTCCCACTACAGTACCGATACTTCCCTTCTATGGTATCGATACCCCCCACGGTACCGATACCATTTTGACATTCTGAAAATTTATCTTGGAAATGGTATCAATACTATACCCTTGGTATCGACAATCCCATAAAAGTATCGATACCTTCCTCAACAAGTATCGATACTACTATTCGAATTCAACTAACTTTGCCTTGAAGTATCGATATTGTTCTTCTAGTACCGATACCCTATGCCCAAAATTATCATTTCCATTTCGAAATTTAACCAAAAACTTAACTAATATCCTACTTTTACCTCATTCTTTACCTTTAAACTCAACTTCATTCATCCAAACCAACTTGTCTTCATTTACTATTCTTAAACATACAAAATCTCACTAAAACTCCTACATCTAAAAATCATACCATGATTTGAAACAAGTTCTTAATCATTTCTAAGACTCCTAACTCTTTATTTAGATCATTGACAAGTCAAATATATCCATAAAACTCCAAAAACTACCCTATATCAATAATTCATTTCAAAACCCATTTTACAAATTCATTTCTAATTCACTCCTCTTATTGTTTTAATCCCTTACAAGCTTTCCTTAAACTTATATAACATCCAAACTTTCAACACCAACCACAAAATTGAAGGAACCAACAACTTATCAAAAGCTTACCTTTGAAGTGGAGCTCACGGGCATGAAAGAATACAAGAAAAGGATTTCCAAACTTTTTCCCTTATCCACATGCTTATCCCTTACTAAAGGAGATAAAAATATCCTTCAAAATGAAAAGACCATAATGCCCTTTCTACTAATCTAAATTTACTATCAAGCCCTACACAAAAATCCACAATTAAATCCTTAACTTTTCAAATTATTCTAATCAAACCATTAAATTTTAAATTCTTACATTTTTGTTACTGATCCGATGATTGGGGTGTTACAGGCGGCAACATCCAAAGCTTTAACAACCTTATTAACCCCAACAATATACCCTTCTTAATAGGCCTAATCAGTGCACAAACCAATGATGTCATACAAAACACTGGCAAAAACGACAACATCCTCAACTTCGGCATCCAACATTTCGTCACCGTCAGACAACTCCCACCTGAAACTCTTCAAAGGCTCATGTTCGGGACCATAACCGTCGTCGATGATGAAGTAATTGAACCACATGAGTTAGGGACAGCTGTGTTGGGCAGAACACAAGGGTTCTATTTGGCTAGCTCATTGGATCATAACAGCCAAGCCATTACGTTGACAATTGTGTTGCATGGAGGCGAACACGAAACTGAGGATGTAACATCCGCAATACCGGGTTAGTGACCAAATTGTAGAATTTCAGAATTTGGTGACTAAAGTATAAGAATGAAAGAATTCAATGATTATTTGAATTTATATTAAAGGTTATTTGGTAATTATTAAAGGAAATTAAGGGTAGTATGGTCTTTTCCTTTAAAAGATATTCTTCCCCCTTTTATAAGAGTGAAAAACGTGGGAAGAGAGCTATCTGGAAGCTTTCTTCTTCTTGCTTTCTCTTCTTCACGTGGGGCTAGCTACAAAAGGTAAGTTAATTTCAGTTGGTTAATTCTTAAGTTTTAAGCTTAGTTTTGATTCTTTGGGTATTAAATAAGCTTAAGGAAAGCTTAAATCATCTTAAAAACAAATGATGGAGGGGTTATGAGAGATTAAAGATTTGGAGTTTTTATATGAAACTTTGGAAAAGAATTGATAAGTAGAATTTGAAGTTAAATTTGACTTGTCAATGGTTAAATTAAGAGATTTGGAATGATAGAATTTGATTTTGAACATATAGAAAATTTGATATGATTTTTGAATTATATATGGAAGATAGGATTTTGAGGTTTAAGATGAAATAAATGAATATAGATTGGTTTAAGTATGTGTACTAGAGTTAAGAATGAAAAGGAGATGATATATGAAGTGTTTGAGTGAAAATAAAGGAATTTTCGGGTTGAAAATATGATTTCTGGGTAAGGGGAATCGGTACCCATTCAAGGGGAACCGATACCCCTTCAAACGACAGAATTCCAGAATGTCTGGAGGGAATCGATACCCCATAGGGGGGAACCGATTCCCCCTAAAGGAAAATTGGGAATATGGGTTTAATAAGTTCGTTTAAGTTGCTAGTATCCAATTACAAGGTGTAGGTATCTAATGATTGTCCCGAAATGTACATTTATGTAGATTCTACGCATAAAGAATTCCGGAACGTTTGGCAAGTAAGATCGATCAAAGGGAAAGATAAGAGATTGGAATTGACTAGTGAGGCCAGGTGAGTGCATATTAATTAGTTTATGGTGCTAAATGGAAACAAGACTTGCGACAAGTCTTTTTCCTCTGTTAGAATGCATGAATATATGATTATACGTATATGAATGACATGAATAGTATGTATGCATGATTATATGTGTTAACATGCTTTTGAATGTAATGTTATGAGAAGTATGTGCTATGTAATGTATATATGAACATATGTGAAACTGAACTATGTGACTGCATGAGAAAGATATGAGCTTATATGGCCTGTGATATGAAAGTGTATATGTGAAATGATATGAAATATATATGTGAAAACAAGTATATGTTATGAGATCAATGATTACACGTACATGTGATACGTGACTGAAAAGAAAAGATATGTGGTTATAAGAGAAAGAATATGAATAAGTAATGTGAACTGTTATAAATGATAATGCCCATGTTATGTGATATGAGAGCTAGGGGTATAGTTGGCATGCCAAGGGTCGAGGGTTTACCTATGTTCTTCGGAACATATGGACTGTTTACCTATGTTCTTCGGAACATATGGACTGTTTACCTATGTCCTTCGGGACATATGGACTGATTACCTAGGTTCTTCGGAATCTATGGACTGGTCCTTCGGGACATTGATCGAGCTGTGGTGACAGCATATGTGTGCACAACCTCAATGTACTCACATACCTTAAGTTCTCACTAGTGTACATGGGCTAATAAAGTGATTAAACAAGCATACTGAATGTGATATGTATACGATGGGTTTATAAGTGGTTTGAAATGTGTTACGTGAATCATATGATGTTGTGTGTGTATAGTGTTTGATTGAAAATTGTTAACAATAAGAGTATGTGATTACATGATAAACTGTTAATGATGAATTATGTGTCTGTATGTATTTACTGTAATTAATCTGATATGATTTTATATGATACGAAGAATGCATGAAATTGGTATAACATGATAGAACAGAACATGCATGTATTGATATATGTTATGAAGTGCATTATAAGTTGTTATGCCTCACTAAGTCTTCGACTTAGCGTGTGATTGTTTCACACGTAGGTTTCGAGAAGAGTAAAGAGTAATGCGGAGCAAGACAGGTCAGTTTTCCTTACCAAATGTCAGATCAGAAAATGTATGTACTGTTTACAGAGTGTAGTTGGCATGTAGTCTAAAGATATAAATGGTATGAACTCTGATATCTGTCGTAAACGTTTGGAAATAATTTAAATGTTATCAAAGTTTTTAAATTACCCACTATTTTATACGAATAAATGTTTAAAAAGTCAATGTGTCACTTCGGACTCGTATCCGGGTCGGATATGGGTTGGGGGTGTTACATTTAATGGTATCAGAGCCAAGGTTTAGCCGATTCTCGGCATAAACCGAAGTCCAAAGTGTCATAAAAGGTGTACATGCCAACATAGATTGAAAAATTTCTGATCTGATAGTGTAAGGAATATGTTGTCTTGCTAATAGAATAAGAATAGTTTAATACAGTAGAAATCCGATCGTGATAATTTCGAAGTAAGTGAAAGGTGATATTCCTGATTGTGATAGCTATTCACTTGCCCTGGCCAGGCAGGATAAGAGCGGACACCTCAGGAAATGCCTAGTAAGATCAAAAGTTGATTTCAGAAAGCTGAAATCATATCTGAATAATGATAGAAAGTTTTCATCGTTTGGAATCGGAAAAACGATATAGAGTTATTATGTGGATAAGATAGAATATGGTGAACGGGTGTCACCATAAGAATGTTAAAAAGATCTAAGGACGTGAGGAGTACGTATAGAAGAACTTAAGGATAAGTGCATCAGTGACAAGTGTATAAGATGTATAAAGTCAGAGTTTATGAGTTTGAAACGAAGTGATAGTATTGCGCATAAACAAGAGTATGTTTATGATAAGGGTTTGCAATTAAGATGAAAAGAGTTAGTATGGGCTAACTAGAGTATTTGATAATAAAAAAATGTACTGGAATGATAAGATTATAAGATATTGTCAGGATATGAGAACCAAATCCGTAATGGATCTGGATACAGTTGCATATTTGGATCATAGTAATGTGGTATAGTAAAGGAAAAGAAAGTAAGAATTTGTATATTTAAGTAAAGCTGAGGATTGATAAGAAGAGTTTGAGAATATGTATATCGATGATCAGATTATAGGACACAGGAAGTCAGAATGTTGAGTTTGAGTAAAAGAAATTTCAGGATGTATGAGAATAGAGGTGAAATTGATAAGTTGAGTAAGCGAATGTTAAGATAATTTAGATTGGAAAGAATGTATATGATTGGTATAAGAGGGATTGTGCCCTAGACTGAACCAAAGTTATTATCTAGCTGTCAGAGTAAAGGTGCTAGAGTTATAAGATTGGAGGAAAAATAGAATGGAGTTAATTGATTATGATATGAATTTGAATATAATTGTATATTCTGAGCAGATAGCTATGATGTAGAAACAGAGATAAGTATTTGAATGGAACCTTCAGGAAGGAAAATACAAGTATAAGAAATGATAAAGAATGAAGTTATGTATAAGAAAGGGGTTATCAGAATAATGAGGATGCAATGAAGATTGGTACATAAAGATGAGTATAAGTGATAAGACAAGAGTGTGAATATGAAAGGAAATATATGATTTATGTATAAGGAATAAGAAGTAAAGAAATGAAAGGGATTGATTTAAAAGAATCAGATACGATAAGTATGGAAGTACAGAGGATAGTTTTGATATAGAGATGATGTATAAACGAAAAAGATAGTTGGAAAACTAAAGGATTGAAAAGTAAGTTTATGATAATGACAAGAAAGAATAAGTCAAGGAAGCAACATAAGAACATTAGAAGATATGTTCCTATTAAGATGTGCAGTGAAAATTCGAGGACGAATTTTCTTATAAGGAGGGGAGATTTGTAACATCCGCAATACCGGGTTAGTGACCAAATTGTAGAATTTCAGAATTTGGTGACTAAAGTATAAGAATGAAAGAATTCAATGATTATTTGAATTTATATTAAAGGTTATTTGGTAATTATTAAAGGAAATTAAGGGTAGTATGGTCTTTTCCTTTAAAAGATATTCTTCCCCCTTTTATAAGAGTGAAAAACGTGGGAAGAGAGCTATCTGGAAGCTTTCTTCTTCTTGCTTTCTCTTCTTCACGTGGGGCTAGCTACAAAAGGTAAGTTAATTTCAGTTGGTTAATTCTTAAGTTTTAAGCTTAGTTTTGATTCTTTGGGTATTAAATAAGCTTAAGGAAAGCTTAAATCATCTTAAAAACAAATGATGGAGGGGTTATGAGAGATTAAAGATTTGGAGTTTTTATATGAAACTTTGGAAAAGAATTGATAAGTAGAATTTGAAGTTAAATTTGACTTGTCAATGGTTAAATTAAGAGATTTGGAATGATAGAATTTGATTTTGAACATATAGAAAATTTGATATGATTTTTGAATTATATATGGAAGATAGGATTTTGAGGTTTAAGATGAAATAAATGAATATAGATTGGTTTAAGTATGTGTACTAGAGTTAAGAATGAAAAGGAGATGATATATGAAGTGTTTGAGTGAAAATGAAGGAATTTTCGGGTTGAAAATATGATTTCTGGGTAAGGGGAATCGGTACCCATTCAAGGGGAACCGATACCCCTTCAAACGACAGAATTCCAGAATGTCTGGAGGGAATCGATACCCCATAGGGGGAACCGATTCCCCCTAAAGGAAAATTGGGAATATGGGTTTAATAAGTTCGTTTAAGTTGCTAGTATCCAATTACAAGGTGTAGGTATCTAATGATTGTCCCGAAATGTACATTTATGTAGATTCTACGCATAAAGAATTCCGGAACGTTTGGCAAGTAAGATCGATCAAAGGGAAAGATAAGAGATTGAAATTGACTAGTGAGGCCAGGTGAGTGCATATTAATTAGTTTATGGTGCTAAATGGAAACAAGACTTGCGACAAGTCTTTTTCCTCTGTTAGAATGCATGAATATATGATTATACGTATATGAATGACATGAATAGTATGTATGCATGATTATATGTGTTAACATGCTTTTGAATGTAATGTTATGAGAAGTATGTGCTATGTAATGTATATATATGAACATATGTGAAACTGAACTATGTGACTGCATGAGAAAGATATGAGCTTATATGGCCTGTGATATGAAAGTGTATATGTGAAATGATATGAAATATATATGTGAAAACAAGTATATGTTATGAGATCAATGATTACACGTACATGTGATACGTGACTGAAAAGAAAAGATATGTGGTTATAAGAGAAAGAATATGAATAAGTAATGTGAACTGTTATAAATGATAATGCCCATGTTATGTGATATGAGAGCTAGGGGTATAGTTGGCATGCCAAGGGTCGAGGGTTTACCTATGTTCTTCGGAACATATGGACTGTTTACCTATGTCCTTCGGGACATATGGACTGATTACCTAGGTTCTTCGGAATCTATGGACTGGTCCTTCGGGACATTGATCGAGCTGTGGTGACAACATATGTGTGCACAACCTCAATGTACTCACATACCTTAAGTTCTCACTAGTGTACATGGGCTAATAAAGTGATTAAACAAGCATACTGAATGTGATATGTATACGATGGGTTTATAAGTGGTTTGAAATGTGTTACGTGAATCATATGATGTTGTGTGTGTATAGTGTTTGATTGAAAATTGTTAACAATAAGAGTATGTGATTACATGATAAACTGTTAATGATGAATTATGTGTCTGTATGTATTTACTGTAATTAATCTGATATGATTTTATATGATACGAAGAATGCATGAAATTGGTATAACATGATAGAACAGAACATGCATGTATTGATATATGTTATGAAGTGCATTATAAGTTGTTATGCCTCACTAAGTCTTCGACTTAGCGTGTGATTGTTTCACACGTAGGTTTCGAGAAGAGTAAAGAGTAATGCGGAGCAAGACAGGTCAGTTTTCCTTACCAAATGTCAGATCAGAAAATGTATGTACTGTTTACAGAGTGTAGTTGGCATGTAGTCTAAAGATATAAATGGTATGAACTCTGATATCTGTCGTAAACGTTTGGAAATAATTTAAATGTTATCAAAGTTTTTAAATTACCCACTATTTTATACGAATAAATGTTTAAAAAGTCAATGTGTCACTTCGGACTCGTATCCGGGTCGGATATGGGTTGGGGGTGTTACATTTAATACACCATAAGTTTCTTCGGACCATGTCGCCCGAATCACAGATCACAATGGTTTGTGGAACCGGGAAGTACGAGCACGCAAAAGGGTACGCCACGGTCGAGACCCTTCTTCACCAAGAGGATCAACACATAACCGATGGTGTGGATACGATGTTGCATTTCAATGTTGACCTCATCGAGTAGATCTGCAAACAAACCGAACATTTAGTGAACTGTTCGTGAACCGTTCGACAGGAAGTTCTTTTATGTTCGTTTATTTATTAAATGAACGAACATGAACAAGATTTTGTGTTCGTTTAATTAAATGAACGAACATGAACAGAGGGCACGTTCGTTCGTTTACGTTCGTGAAATTTCAGTAATATGTTCGTTCATTTATGTTCGTTCGTTTATGTCCGTTCGTTTATGTCTGTTCATTTATGTCCGTTCGTTTATGTTCGTTTATGAGTGTTAATTTATGTTTATCCCAATCTCTTTAGACCCATTTAAAATATTAAAGCCCAATAAATTTTAATCTGATACCCATAAATATTTTAAAATTCAATTAATTTTAAATACACATAAAAAAGCTCAAAACAATTAAATTAATTGTAATCCTAAAATTGTTAGGAAAGAAAAAAAAATCTATTTCCAGTTATGTTCGTTTATGTTCGTTCGTTTGTGTTCGTTTACGTTCATTTATTGTGTTTGTTTATGTTCATTTACATCCGTTCGTTTATGTTCGTTCATTTATGTTCGTTTATCATTTAAATGAAAGAACATGAACAAACACGAACAAGCTACATTCTTTAACGAACGAACACAAACAAGAATTTTTTTTTCGTTTATGTTCATGTTCGTTCATTTGTTTGGTTAAAGTTAAATGAACGAACATGAACATACCCCCATTCGTGTTAGTTCAGTTCATTTACAGGCCTATCACCAAGTGGTGATTATGTGTTTGAAGCATTTGATGCTGAAATTTTAATAATAGTTTATAATGTTTTATATTTGGTTGTTGTAGTGAAATTGTGATAATTCAATCTCATGTTTATCTTTTTCTTTAATGGTAAAATTATTGTTTTCTTCAAATAGAAAAGGGCTAGTTTTATTAAAAATAAGAAATATTGAGAACTACAATGAATGTTTAATGCATAATCGATATAAATTAAATATAATTAGGACATTTTCCTATAACCATTAACACAAAATACTGGCCACCTAGATCACATAAGGATCAAAGAAGAAAAAAGTTAAAAAACCTAATCAAAACGTTCGAACAAAATATAGATACGAACAAATCTGACTGCATCGGCAAACAGACCACAGATGATGAAGTTACTGAAAAACCACCGACAAATCGCAAATCAGAATCGAGCAACGTGAGAAAACAATCCACAAACGTAAATCGCATATCCAAATTAATCCAATGGTCCAAAGTAGGGAAGATCAACATGATAATAAATAAATACCATCTTGATCAGTCGTAGCGATGTCAAATCCAACCCTAAGAAAAAAAGATAAACGAAAACAACAACCAAACAACTAAAAATGTAACAAAAATAAGAAGCAAAAAATGATATAAAGATAGAGTAAAACATGTCATAAAAAATTATTAAAAAACTAAATAAAATAAAAATATGATATAAAAATAGATGAAAATAGAACGTGTTTTAAATTATTTATTAGATAAAACGTATGAAATAAAACTGACACAACATATTTTATAGTATGTCTTAATAGACATATTCGACGATAACACGTAACACTAAGAACATCGAATATATAAAGACTGTAATCACCAACTTTTTATCTGATTATTATTATTATTATTAATAAAAAAAGCCCAAAAATTACAACTTTCCATTTTTTATAGGCCCAAAATATGAGCTCAATACCTAAAAAAACCCTAACCCGGTAGGCCTAAAAACCCAAATCCCAACAACACAAAAACCCTAATTTCCCAAACCCTTCAATCAGCCCTACCGCTTAATCGTAGCCGTTGGATCATATCTAACCCAACAGTCCAGATCAAGCCAAACTAGGGTTTCATCCTAACTTTTCTCTTGGCCCCCCGTCTCCACATGCCCATGGTCCCCTCGCGTGAGATGCACGTGCCCGTGGTTCCACTCCCCAAGGTAGTCTTTCCTGTTCCCCATGCATATCGATGATGTCATCGTCGGTCGCCCCGAAAATAACAAAAGGGTCTCGGGGGTAAAACGTTTTACCCCCGCTCTTGCTTGCATCATCCGTTGCCTGCCAAGCCTTGGCCCTACCATATTGTCTCATTCCTCGGTCAATGCACAAAACCACAAGAAAGAAAGAAAAACCAAAGAAAACCAGAGCCTTGTTTTTTTTTCCATTCGCATGCAAAACGAAAATGAGAAGGGAAGGGCTTCGTTTATAAAAAGGATTTTTTGAACAAAAATAGAGGAATCAAAAAAGAGAAAAGAGAGAAGCACTTACCATCAGAGCGCCTGTGCTCTTTCATTGGAGTGAAGATCCATAGTTCATTGAAGGTAACCCCTTTGTTTTCCTAGATCTAGGGCTACGGGGTAGTTCTTAGATCGAATAGAGGTTGTTTTTGGGTTTAGGGGAGAGAGTGTGTCATTTTAGGTTAAGTTTCTAGAGCTCCGGACGTTGGCAAAAACTAAAAAAAAAAAGAGACAAATGAATGTTGAGAGAAAATAACTCTCTCTTTGGAAAAAACTAAAAAAAAGACAAATGAATGTTGTCAGTCATTTTTAGGGTTTATATATGGCCCCAAAACGATGTCGTTTAGGAGAGGGTATGCGCACGTTTTGGGCTCATGGACTAATCATTTCTGTAGCCCTTCATTCTTTGTAATTGTTACATTTTAGTCAGTAATTGAAGTTGAATTTATTTCGAATTTAAGTTGCTAATTTTTGTTGCTTTACATTTTAGTCAATAACCATGCTTTAATTTGTTCTTGATTGAATGTCTGATGTGATCCTTCAAATTTTATATTCATTACATTTTAGTCATCAACTGGTTATGCATTGAAAATTGTAATATTCACATAGACCCCATATGTTTACTGTAATATTCGTTACATTTTAGGAGTTATAAAATGATCATTAAATTTATTAAATTGTTATATAATAATTATAAATTACACTTTATAAAATAATGATAATTTTTTATAAATTCATTATTCACTTTTTAATAATGTGATAAGTTTAATGAATATTTTATAACTGTTTTAAAAAGTGTAATAATTATTTTATAATTTCTGAAATTTCAATGATCGAATCAATGTTCTATACTTCTATATATTTATGAGTTAATTCTAAGTTTTTTTTCTCAGAACTTTATTAATTTAAGACAAACAAATTGTAGATTTGTCATTGTTTTCCAGATTCATGACAGTATAAGTTTCCAAATATTTAAATCACACCAAATTATAGGCACCCTCATCTAATATGTAACATAAACAGTGAACTCTAGCACGGTCTCAAAGCCATCGGTCTCCTGCTGATGATTACTCGCCGGTAAAGTCTTCACAATGGCGAAACCTCTAGCACTGACATATTTTCCGGTACCACCCATGATAGAAAAATGCGACTCCGATACACCGGTCCGATGAACCCCGAAGAAGCTAAGAGTGTCGGCATAGTGTCCGCTCTGGAACATGGCTGTAAACGCCATTGTTTGACTGGTTCCACCGACAGAACTAGCCACATAGAACCCTGGTGCCTTACCAACAAACCCTGAGCCTAGCTCATGTCCATTTGTCAGCTTTTCATCGTTGACGGTCATGGTCCCGAACATGAGCTTTTGGAGTGCAGAACCTGAAGGAAGTTGGCCACCAACCAAGGTCGGGAATCCTCCGTTGTTGTTGCTGCCGTCGTTTTGCAGCACCGCTTGAGTGTTCCCACAAAGGCCGGAAAGCAACGGAACGTTATTGTTGTTTAACAGACCAGTATTGCCACTGTTTTGGCTTATTCCATTATTCACAGGGAGGTTTGCACCATTTGGTTTAGCAAATGGAAGTTGACCATTGAGTGCCGGGTTGCTGACCGCACCGGTGACTGCTAGAGCAGACGGGTTCGACCCTCCGAGGATGTCGTGCATGAAAAAGGTAAGAGTGTGGTCAGGGTCTAGCACAGGGTTGGCAACATTGCCTCCTGTGGGAATGGAACCAGTGGTTGCAGCTACACTAGGATTAGGCTGTGTGCCTGTTGGGGTGGTGGTCAGTGACGGCACAATAGAAACAGGCGCCACAACCGGATTCGACGACAAGTCCGAGGGATGCTCATCGAGCATTCTTGCTGAAGTGCAGAATGCAATTGTGAAAGAAAGAAGTACAGAAATGAGTTTGTAGGTTTCCATAGCTACAAAGTTCAGAAAGATTTGCTTCAGTATTTTTTCCTTAATGAATTGAAAGACATGCAAGTGTATGCATATATATAGCTCTAGAAATGGAGTTGTTGTATATATATATGGATTGGCTTATCAAAAAGGCTTTCACCTGCAACAAAAAGCATTCAACCATATTACATCACTAATAATTTACATGTAACAAATTGCAGAATATGAATCTTTTCTTGCAGAGTTCTACACAGTCATCAATGGCTGCCCCAAAGAAATTTACAGCAAATTGTTAAAATTCTTAAGCAAGAAAAGGTGTTAAGAACAGGAAGAGCAAGAAAATACATAGAATCTGCTTTCTTTTTTCATTTCTTTTTCTTGTGGAACAAACATACAATAATAGGCATGGCAAAAACTAGTGTTTTTTTGCCACAATCCCAACATATGCATGCATAAATACATGAGTTTTCACACCAATGCAAAAAATAAACAAAAATTTTCCTGCATATGTCTCTCTCACTTCCTCTTTGACATGCTAATGCGACATTTGAATGCGAAAAATCGAAAAAGAAACAACTCATTTTTTTGTTTTGATGATGCATGTAAAAGTGTGCCAAAACCATGAGGGGAAAACTATATTTTGAAAGAAAAAAAAAACTCTATAGGCTAACAATCTCTGCCGCTAGTTCATCAATCAATGAATTCTCTATTTCTATTGAGATTGATTCGATATCGTATCCTAAGGATAACCATTCAACGTCTTTTCCGATAACTTTCTCTGCTGAGTCCTTCTTTACTTCATTTTCGGCTTCCTTTTCTTGGCTAACCAACAACTTGTATAGCTCTTCCTCGATTTCTTTTGAGCTCTGCAAATAGCTAAGCCTTCTTGCGACAGGTTTTGCCCACATGGGGTATCCTAAACATGGCTGCAGAATTTCTATTAGACTCGAATTTATGCAGTCGAAAAGTAGCGTCCTCGCCGATCTCTTCCAAGATATTTGTTCACCGTACTTCTTCTCTAGTGTCTCGAAAACCGACGGGCTTATTGGAGTTTCTGGAGAGGGCCGTCTGTAACACCCCAATTTAGGGGTTAAATTTAAGAAATTATAAAGTAATGGATTTAATTGGTTTTTTTTGAAAGAAACGATGGATTAAATTGTAAAATTTCAAAGTTGACAGACCGTTTTAAGAAGTGCAGGAAATTCAGTGACTAAACTCATAATTTACCTATTTTTCTTTTAGAATGAATTATAACTCCATTCCGTATGTTTTTTCTACATATTATCATTTTTATCTTCTCCAACAACCCTTCTTCCAACTCCGATCTATTCGCCGTCTAACCTCCGATCGACGAGCCGAAACCACCATCGTGTTTGTTGTTGAGCGAGGAACAAAACCCCTCAAACTTTTCGTCATGAATCGTCTCCGTTCGTCGTTAATTTTAGTCAGAAGTATCGTCGGTAATAACCCGATTTCAGTTGGTTTTTCACCGATTCACGACGATCCGAGCATCCGTTTACGACACCTCTCGCACCATCGTATTCCTTGCATCGTTCCGAGTCCGCCGGTGTCATCCTTGGTCTCCGTCGGCGGCGGCGCGTGAGGAGGTAAAGCGGTCAAAGTTTCCGATTCGTTGAAATCGAGCTCTCCGTCGTTCAAAAATTTGAACCGAGCTTTGTAAGTATCTCGAAATCATTTAAAATAATTTTTAGGAATTTTTCCGGGAATTTTCCTACATCAGGGTACTGTTCACGCGCCGCCATTGAGCGTGGGGAAGGCAAAAGTGACCGGTTTGACCGGTTTTGGAACTGTTTTGATCGGTTACAACCCGACCCGACCCGTTTACCTGACCCGACCCGTTCATCCGACCCGACCCGTTAACCCGACCCAACTCGTTGACCGTTGATCGATGTTGACCGAAGTTGACTAAAACTTTGACTGGCTTTGACCGGGCATTAAACGACCTTTGACTTTGACCGAGTATACCTATCCTGACATTTTTCGACGTTCCAAATCCGATTCCGCAGTCGGTTTTTCGAAATTCGAAACCGAAGGCCTCGAAATTGACGGTCAAACCCGTTGACTTTGATTTTGACCGAAAATTCCAAATTCTGAAAAGTCATATTTTATGCTTTCGACGTCCTGAATCCGAATCCGAAGTCCGTTTCGCCAAATTCGAACCCGATTCGATCTGTTTATTGTAATTAAGCTCTGTTTTTTATATAATTTATGTTGATATGTATCTGAGGAATTATTGGAAGTTGAATTGAAGATCAAAGGCATTCGAATGGAATTTTTATGGTCAATCAGTATTGCACGAAAATCGAGGTAATACTTTACTACCTCTTTATGCTTTATGGAACATGTAAATATTGGTAAATGCATGATTAAGATAATGTTGGTCTCATTTGTGTAGTTAATTAGTTTCTACACTCGATCTGAATACGGTAAAAGGGTTCAGTAATTGATTATGGTTCAGATGATTTTTATAAAAATTTGAGGGATTGTTAGAATTAAATTACAAGTTCTGTGCTTAGTGATAAAGAAATCAACATGGATTTATAACTTATAGTTTATTTCATCAAATGTTAAATGTTAAAGGTACTTGGATTGGAAATTATGATAATACTCAGGTAGGGTAAAATTACGAAAATACCCTTAAGTTGTAAGATGTCAAGAATTGTCACTAGAAGTTGATTAATTACTCTGAAAGAATATATTAAAATGATAAAACTATAGATGTACTTAAGAAATGCTAGATTTTGCTTACGAAATACGGATAACCGATTTTTAACCCCAAGAGGGTTTGTGTAAGATATTTGAATTCTATTAAAGAATCATTTCAAGATAAGAGAATGTTCGGGAAAGTAATTGATCATAGGATCTCTAAATTATAATTATTTTCGTTAAGAGCTAATATTGAAATTATCTAGTTAAGAAATTACGAAAATGCCCTTGAGAGGTCAAATAGTCCTAGTTAAACCTGAATGAGAAAATACTTTGAGGATTCTTACTTAACTCGATTAAGTACGAATTTGATTGTTAAGATCCTGACTTAGTTCAGGAAAATTCCTGATTTTCCGTTTGTAAAATCTGAGAAGACACTTGACCCAGAAATATCCGAGTTATGAGTAAATACCTAAAGAATAATTTGTCGGGGTGTTCTGTTGTCATAATTGTTCGAAAGGACTGAAATAAATGATAAGATTGAATTTAATAGTAAGATCGGACGGAAGGAAATGATTGAAATACGTTGAATCTGTAAAATAACCAAAATACCCCTGTAATGGAAATGACCTAAGAATATCACCAAGCTCAAGAATGATTGGATATCTTCGAGCCCTAAAATAAATGGAATAAAAATGAACACCAAAATTACCAAAATACCCTTGTGTCCTATTCTAAGTAAAGGCCTTGGATTAATTAAGGAATCCAAATAAGCATAGGTGTTGGACTACCTTTAAAAGTTATGGAACACAACTTAAGTGAGTTGATCAACCTTAATGGTATGTCAGTACCTGAACGACATAAATATTACTTGAATGCGTGCTTGTCTACTCAAGTTTGGCTCGATGATAATTTTGGAAGTATTCAGCTCAGCTCAACTCTAGATCGTATTCAACACTAAGAATTGGATATTTGTTCGACAAATCAACCACGAAGACCAAATTGAATTGAACGAAAGTACAATATGTATATGAAATTCAGAAACGTCTAGATTATCTGGAAAGCTTTGAAGTAACCGAGATAGACTTGACTGCTAAACGAACTAAGTAACCTTAATGACTGAGGATTAAATAGGTGATTGGATGAGTTTGGAAACACTGGTGAGCTTACATGATGAATTGTCCTTATGGGTCATAAAACATGAATCGAGTACGTATGTATTTTCTGATATCGTTGAAACGTAGAAATGAAATAAAAACCGTTGGAAGATCTATTCAGCGATGATTATGGGGATGATCTATGGATCTACATTATGGTATTAAAGAGTGAATACACTGGAAGGATAATGAATTGACTTGTTGACATGCATCAGTTTGGGAGTTGTGTAACTCGAGTTGTTGATAATACGATCGATAGTCATAGATTGTAAATGACTTGAATCTTTGATTCTATATTTTCATCTAAAATCACTTCGGTCATGTTTGAAAACGCAAGTAACGCAGAAGGAAAAGATTATGAATACCCCATTTGGTTCAATTAGGTTGAAATCCTATGAATTCAAAGTATATTCCTGAATACCTCTTATTGTTTGGGTAATGGAATCACTCGCAGTAAATCTGAATTTAGAATTATTATGTATAAAGGTTCCTGAACGTTTTCCTGATGCACATGGAAATTTAGTGGAATTCTAAAGTATCAATCTGAAATGTCTGATTAGATCAATTAGAAATCGATTCTCTTCAATAAGATCTTATTACTGGAATCCGATCAAATTGCACAAGTTCATGTTATCCATATTGATAACTACAAAATACATCTTAAAAATAATTGGATTCTCTAGAGTGTTCCTTATATTTTGAAAAAAAATTATTTTATTGTTTTAATATGTGGTACACTAAAATCTATGGTTACTGTTTTATGGATGCACCGACTTAACGATGATGGCTTATGGATTTGTATCATTGTATAAATTGTATCTTGGAGATACATAATTGTAAAGTACAACTCTGATCAAGCTGGAAAATTTTTATGGACCTAATGTGACTCTTAGGTAGGCTCTACGGCCCTGAGATCATTCTCGGGTAGGCCCTGCGGCCCTAAGATGTGTTCTTAGATAAGCCCCACGGCCCTAAAATCTATATTGGGTAGGCTCTCAGGCCCTAACATGTTCCTTTAGGTTAATTCTTTGTAAGATAGTTTTAAAATTACGAGTTTAAAAAGCTCCACTACAGTATGATTTATGGGATTTTACTGAACTATCATTTGATTAGTGTACCTATTATGGTTTTATCGTATTGATGGAACACACTAGGCATCCTATTCGACCTCATGAAAACGGGATAGTATGAAAGGTTTGTTATGAACTGAGATTCATGGCTTTTACTCGTTGAACTACTAATGGAACCCCAGATTATTCCGCAATTGGTATACGTTTGATTCAATAAGGAAATTATGGCTTCCCATTTATCTGTATGTCATGTAGTATCATCTGATAGTTCTGTATTACTGAGCTTTCCGAAGCTCACTCTATTACTCACCTTTGCAGGTTAAAAGAGTTGTACCAGTGCATCTATCAAAATCAGTAAGGGAGTTCTTCCGGCGTTGTTGCAGAGTATGATACATGTGATTAGGGGGCATGTAATTGTATTTTGATTTATATACGAGTCTGGAAATCTGTTTTATTTCTGCATACTGATAAATCATTTTATAAGTTACATATTTTAATAAAAGTTTTAAATTTTCCGCCATTTTTACTGTGAGTCGCTCCGGTGGCCCTAATGTGACACCTCGGATCAGATCGGGTTATCCGCATCGGTCGGGGGTTACACCATCTGTTAAAGAGTATATCTGGGTTTCTACTATGAAAACCTGCCTCGGTTAAGACATCAACCAAATAGGAGAAATCTCGACTCTCTGCAGCTCCAAACTACTTCGTTGGATATTCATTTACTTCGTACTTCAAAGGCTCTTCTACTACATTTTCATTGTCACTTGAGACAACCATCCCTTGTCCTTCAGTGTATTCTTCAACCGACTCCGATTTTAGAAATTCGAGTTGCCGCTTCACGTCTGTTCGAAATGAGAACATAAAAGTTACAATAGATAAAATGTGGGGCAAAGAAATCAGAGGTCAAAGAATCCTTCTGTTTCACTAACCATTTAAGCTTGCGATGACACTCGAAAGGCACTTAGAGCTCAATGAATTCTCTTCTACGAATGGTGTTTCCAAAACTGAAACTGGACTGGACTGATTAGCTGTCTCAGAGGTCACAAGAAAGTCGAGGTCTGTGCCGCACTCTTCGGATATTTTCATTGATACATCTTCCTGCAAGATTACAGTGAAATCCATGGTTTAGAGACAATGAGTGGCTCAAAATTAAAGCCGAATCAAAAGAAATTAAAACTTCGATGTCTCGATCACAAAATACAGTGCACAAGACTCTAATGAACTTCCACCATATCAATGCAGATTATATACTAAATTTAGCAATGCAGATTGATTAGTATACCTAAAATGCACTTAATACTAGTATTAATTAATCCTATCAAACTAACTGGAAACTTAAAACAACATTGAACCTGTTGAATCCAAGCAACAGGGATACGAAAAGAAGAATCACGGCCTTTCTCTGGCATAATGCAGTCCATTGATTCGAGCCGGTGCTTGGTATGGCTTCCAGTAGTCTTGGCAGCATCTTGAGTTTCTACGGCAACCACCATATCAGAGACGATGCTTCGAGACACAGCCGAGTACATTGATGACTCAGGTACCACACAATCCTCTGTAGACACTTTCCTATCCTTGATGTCATAGGATCCCGAGTTTCTTTGTTTCGGACAATCTTTCCGTCTTGACCAAGGAAACACTGGCCTCGTACTCATACAAGAATCAACATGGAAAGCTTTGGGACTAGTCCTGGTTATAGGACTTCCAACAATTGTAGGGTACGATTGTGATCGCGACTTTAGTAAGTCTCCAACGCCCCCGTTTTTTGAGCCAACTCTACTACTAATGCCAAAAGGACCACGGAAGTTAGCACGCTTAGCATGATCGGACAATGCAAGCATTTCACCAAGTGTTCTGCTTCTGCTCCTACCCCTAAATGCTTGTCCATTCTCCTGAAATTCTTTAGTCATCCTCCATCTTTCCAAGATTTGCTGCTTTGCTTCCTGAGCCACATATGATTCGTTAATGTCGTAACACAAGGGCTTGTATTTTCACACGCAAATTTGACAGGCAGTTGAGCTTAGTTGGGGTAATGGGTGTTTTTGTATTTTGTAGAGAAGATGTTTTTCGCGTTGTTTTTTTTTTTTTTTCGTTTCGTTTGCAACGCGCGAATATGAACTGTCGTTTCCCGGCATATTTCCCTCCACCAAAAGAAACGGTCTCTTTTTCATTTATTTTATAAAAAAAACCTTAAATTTTATTTTTCGAATTAATTACATAATATATCTCTAAATTATTACTTAGATTTAATATGTATAACCCACTCATTTTTTTAGGATATATCATATTAACTTATCAAAATCTAGTTGGAGCCAAATTAAAATTAAATCAAACAAGATATTCTAACATTCATCAATCATTAAATTGAGAATTAAATTATTAAACTTATCAATCACGATGGTTCGATTACATATCAAATTATCAAAGAAGTCTAAATTGTAAATTCATATATTTTAAGGAGTTGATTGTAAATATCAAAATTTTAAGAACAACTACAAATATTTTTCTACTGAATAAATACATCTTTAAAACATATGATCTTTAAAAATTATGGATTTTTAAAAAGAAACTGAGGCCAATTTAATTATCAATCCATAAAGTTATGAATTGAAGATTAAATTTTAAAATTCTGAATTCAATTTTAAAATTAGATGTCTTTAAAATTTAAAATGTTTAGATTAAGTCTTTAGATTATTAATTTTTTTTAACAATAAAGGGACCATTAGTGATAAGATTTTATTTTAGATTTTGTTTGATCAGAGTTGAGAATATTACGTGCTTTTGTTGGAGGACATGGAAGTACAATATATCTTAAACTTTACATAATAATTATATTTACAGAATATGTGTACATCAATTAGATACTTATTTCTATTAAATAAATTACAATGAAGAATTGACTTGATTGAGAAAAAAATGATACTCGAAAGATTTAAAATAAAAATTGTATTATCAAACTTAATTATAAGTATAAAATATTCAAATACTCAATTATTCAATTATAATTAGAAAATGCCCTTAGCTTGAAAGTATTCAAATATTCAATTATAATAAATATAAAATAATGAATATTTTACTTAATGACGAGATAAATAGATCACATACGTATGAATTTTATTAAAATTTTAATCAAGTGGATTCTGAATTTCAGGCCAAATCCCCAACTTCCACGTTCTCGATTTTACAGACCAATAAATAAATACGTATCCAATTTAAAAAATAAATTACACGGGTAGTCTCTTAACTTTTGGGATGTTTACATTTTAGCCATCGAGCTTTCAAAAATAGCTGATGGTAAGGACTGTGATAAAAAAAAGTTTAATAATCTTATTGTGAAATTCAGAAGTTAAATATAATCAAAATGTAAGTATCCTAATAGTTTAGGGACTCGTAGTATAGTTTACCCTAAAAATTAATTGCATTTAAAAAATTTAGTGCATTATTGATATATCCGTTCGAGAATATAAAATAAAAATAATTGCATTATCAGGAAGTGCTTATCTTTCACATTTATGATTAGTAATCCACTAAGTTAGTGGAATGCTTTTAAATGAATGATGTTTTTTTTTTATATATTCTTTACTTTTAACTTCCCTAACAAATATTTTATAAAATAATCTTCTCATTTTTTAACTTATTTTTTATCTCAATATTTTTATATGGTTTTTCTTTCTTATGTTTTCTTAATTTTATTTAATTAATAACATTATCAATTTTAATATTGACTATCGATCGTTGACAATTATTAACTCTCATATTTTTTTCATATTATGTTTTTTTTTTTACTTTTTTTTTGAATTTTTTTAATTTTAAATAAGAATATATATTCTTATGATATGTTTTTCTCTGTTCTTATGACATGCATTTTCTATGTTATTGTGGCACGGTCCTTATGATTTTTAATATGTTTTTGTATACTATACAATTCTTTTAGTATAATTATAGATATTTAATTTATTTTTTGATTAATTTAAATTTAATATTATAAGAATTTATTACGAGTTAAATCTCTATCTTTTCTTAAGATATTTAACGTTTTATCTATCTAAATTATGTCGTGATACATAAACTTTGATTTGGTTCATCTAGTGAACCTTTGATTTTTGATCAATTTCACACGTAAACTTCATTTTTTTTATCGGTCAATATTATTTATTGAATAAACCCTAAATTACGGATCTCATTAAAAACCTCCTTAAACCTAACTAGTGAAAAAAATACTCTTAACTAAGAGCAAGTACAACCGCAAAAAACACACGCAACACCCGAACCAACTAAATATATACAGCAGACCCAAATTAAGAGAGCATAACACTATCCGAATTAAAGACCACAAAGTAATCACCAAACTTATGATAAGTGCAAACCTGATGATGACCAGCTATGGAACTTTCCACCAATACTAAATTACTCAAACCGGTGCATATGTTTAATACAAATAAAAGCAAGATCACCCTCACACATTAGCTAAAGAAACCACCCAAACTGAGAAGAGTAGCACTTGTTCATACTTCATCGGCTTTCATCCTGACCGACTGTCCTTTCTTCATAAACATCATTGGACCTCTTTATTCCCTCACCTGCAGTCCTATCAATTCTCAATGCCAAAACAACTGACCCTTTCTAGATAATTCTGCCTACAGACCAACCATGGAATTTTCTTCACATCTCAACAAATGAGTTGCATTCAACGTCACTAGGTCACACCGATAAACTTGGACTTGACAGTTGCCACCAACAAAATCTTCAACAACACCTCCCCATCAACATAAACTACAAGGAATAAAGGATACTACCCAAAAGACACCAAAAGACAAGAGTAAATCTAGACCAAAGCAGACAACATAACAGACGGGGCCTAACTAACAAGCAATACCAATTAAACTACAATCCAACCTTCAACAAGGGCAGCCAACACAATTGCTGCAAATTGAAAGAACTCCTCGTCATGCGAGCACTGTTGTCGCTTTCCTCACCCAAAACATCAAACGCCTCATTAATTCAATCAACACAATTTTCATCAATCAATGAATTTAGTTACGTTCAGCAGCCACCACACCAAATACGCAACATAACACTTCAAGGCACCTCGCTGCCAGCAAAGGAACAACTAACAGAATCAATGAAATAACGTCGGTCTCTCCACAATAGAATTTTCTGCCAACTGAACAAGTCTCACAAAACAGTCAATGGTAATAGAGAAAACTGACTATATCCCCAGAACAAAAGTACCCCATAACACCACAAAGAAGCACACCACGCAGCTTGAAGAATAAACTAACAATTGAAAACAACATTACACAAAACCATCACTATAAAAACCCAGATAACTGAATCAGCTACCCAAACAACAAACAACCCTCAGAATCTGAAACTCCATATCAATGCAACAAAACATCACGCTCATCTAAGAGCTTACAAGAATGCATCAACTTAAAAAAAATTATTGGTACATTAACAAGCACAAAGTAGACTCCATCGTAAAACCAAATTCGATACCCCCATGGAACTCATAAAACAAAATTATCTGACCATTCATTTGAGAAAAGACCGCAACCAATATGGATAATCCAACAATCCGTCCAGCTCATAAGACTTCAAAACTTCCAAATTCTTCCTATAAGCAATGGATGGCAATAAAACCCCAAGCCCCAAATGAAACACATGACGACAATCCCCAAAACAACCCCTTAATATTTAAATCCAAACACAACTGTTTCCAGTGTGTATAAAACCCAAATTTAAGATCACTATTCACTATAAGCCAAATAAAATGAAGGCAAACAGCGTGACTCCACCAAATAAACTTTAGACAT